CGATGGACAATCCCCACCGATCGTAATATGATACTTATTATTATTAATGGTTAAACACTACGTTTCTTATATTATATAAATGCTGAATATGCAACAAATTTCAAATATTTTTTTTACTGTAATATAAACTTCAAATTTAAACGTTTGCTACTCGATACTTATTAATTTATTTTACAATTTGTATTCTTAATTTTTCTGACACCCATTATCACACCTTCATCTCTAAAAATAATTATTATTTTTAAATCACACTTTCTTCACTTATTTCAGTAGATTTTAAAGTTTATTGGGGCATTTTTAAGTTTTTTTAGGTTATCAACGTCCCTTTTTCTATTGTTGTTACAACTAGGGCTGTAAATGAGTTACATTTGCGTTTTTTTTTTTTACTACACTGTATAAAAATATGGACTCAGCCAAAAATCATTTGACTTGTTTACAGTTAAAATACGAAGTCTTTTTTGCATATTTTTGAAATTTTCAGTGCATATTTTCCCTGTTTTTGGTGTATAAATGCATGCATATTTAAAACTTTTTTAGTACATTAAATTCACAGCCCTTGTTATTACTTATTATTTATTACTTTTATTTTCAATCATACTTTATTATTTTAATCACAGTAACTGTTAACTGTTTACAATCTACAACTTCTTAAACTTGATGACACTTAAGAGGATGTCAGATTTTTAGTTCGCAGTTTATTTCTCTCTGTGTTCCACGCACAACCAAGCAAATGTATTTTTAGCAGAACTAACCATTACTAAAGTAATAATATAATGTTGGTTCTGTTAATCGTACATTTAGTTTTTTAAGCGTGGGTCATAGAGAGAAAACAAATAGTGCTCTAACATCCTACCGATCTTTTTATTCTATCCTATAAGTCAAGGTTTTCAACCTATCAACTTGGTAGTTTCAGCCAAATAGTCGAGTGGCCTTTGCAATTCAAGATCCTTTCCTACGTATTCGGTATTGTTAACCTAACTATTCTACTTTCACACCATCTATTCTCCGTTCACACATTATTCCTTCTCCCTTCTCACACATTCATACAGGTCCAGCCACACTATCTCTCACTCTCTCTCTTTGTATCACTTCTCTCACTACCTCTTATCATAATGACTGTACCACCTCACCTTATTCTCTCTTGTTTTCACCAACTGCAGCACTTACAATCCTTATTTTTACCCTGCCATATATTTCCTATTCCCCTAGTCTTAAATCTTAATTGTAGCTATACAGGACATCTTACTTGATAATTGGTGAAAATATTTAAATATTATTTAAAAAATATAATACCTAACCAATTTCTTAATTTTTATTAAGATTCTATTGATAGCCGGAATAGTGTTATACCAGTAGTTACATTACAAATAATTAAAAAGTTCCGAGGTATACATTCATTGATCAATTAACAATATAAAAAAAAACCTACTGAAAAATAATAAAATATATAACCCCCTTGTCGGCCTCACAAATCTATTATAAAACGCAGTCTTCGAAACAGTGCAACGTTAACACATTTCACATTGCTTAATATATAATATTTTTTCCCAGTTGGAAAATGTTGTTTTTTTTTTTTTATTCTTGGAACTTGGGAAAAAAAATTACTAGTTCTAAATGTCCATGGCTTTAAATATTTATTGAAATCAAAAAGTAAATTTTAGTATAAAATATAATATACAAAGAAACTTACTTTAAACATCGACTTTTCCAGTGAAATCTATCTGTGATATATCTAGAGCGAATAGACGTGCAGTACACGCCGCCGAAGAAAAAGCTAACTTAATTTGCCATCATCTTGCTCTGAACTGAAACTTGAAAGTAATAAAGTATCGTAATATTTTTTGAGATCCACCTAAATGGAATAATATATGCGAGTAATTACATATTATATAGGTAGTAATATAGGTACTATTCGTTGGCTCATTTTATTTTTTTTGTTCATTGAAATTATTAGAATCATTAATCATCTCCGACGTTTAAAATGTATATAAAATATTAAAATTAATAATGTATTGTTTTAAATACTTCACTCAAACCTAAGATGCTACTCTACGTATAGTATAGGCGAAATGGGTACGTATCAAACTTTGAGTGGTGCAACGAATACGGCGTTTAAATTGTTCGGGCTAGCGTATTTTATACATTGCCTTTTTGGGAGTAAAAGTATGAGGTTCTGCGTCACCCAATTAACAAATTTTCAGTGGAAATAAATATTTAATTTAAGTCCAAACAGTAAACTTAAGCAAAATAATACGAAAACAAACTTACATCGACTCTTTCGGTGAAACCTAGGTGTGCTTTAATTATCTAGAGTGCAGTACACAGCCACTGAACTAACCGCTAGCTATCTTCATCCGCTTAATCTTGCTCCTAACTGAAACTTGAAACTATCGAAATATTTTCTGAAAATAACCTGTACCTATAACGAAATATTATGTGAGTGCAAGTTATATTATATACAACTTAACAACTTGTCCAACTATTGATGTAAATTTTTTTTTTTGTTCATTGAATTATTACAATTAATTAATTAATTCGTCTTCAATGAACGGTGACAATTGGCAATTTCCATAGATGTCGGATATTATAATATTATAAATCTCTCGGTATGTATTCGAATGTTTCTTTTTATAGTTTCCATGTATTTAGTAAATAATAATGAACGATATTGTGTATTCGAAAAATAATTTGTTGTATTGAATTAGGTACCTACAGGCAGGGCTTGAAATTAAAATGAAAAATTTTGATTAGTATTTCAATTTCACATATCAATGTTTGTTTTTTCTGGTTTGAATTTAAAATTATATATTGAATAATGATATTATGATTTTATGATTTTATATTGTTGCACAATATTGATTTAGTTGTCTTATGATTTTTGATTAGATTTTGAACACCATTTTTCTTTTTTTGATTTCAAATTCTGATTTACAACTAGTATTGTAGATAAAATCACAGTTCGCAAAGATCGCTACAACTGGATACGGCGCTTACATAATTACATGATCCGTGATCACAAGACAATATCCGTTATGTGAGCCACCCGCCTACAAGGCACTTACAGCGCTAACAGCGATAAACAAGGCTCGATGCTTTAACATACTAATTACGATTACTATGTAAAAGATGACGATTTTACACAGGATATGCATAGTCTGGAAAAATTAAATAGACGGCTACCAATCGCGGCAGCACAACGTATCTGGTAATAGGACAATTGGTGCACCGTTCCCTCATTTTCAGGCTTGCAGCTATCTGGGTGTGGGTATTTGTGGAGGTGTACGACCCGTTTTGAATTGTGCTCAACCACTTTCTCCCGGCGAACGGAGTATAATTGCAGCGATGAGCTAAAATATAAATATGAATAATATTGAACATTGCACCAATGTACTTATTTTCCCTATATACAGTTGGTATGCCGGGCAACATATTATGTTTGTACGAAATATGTAAGACAATTAATAATATATATATTATATATATATATATTACCTACTAATGATATTCAAATGTGCTTTGTATTACAATAAAGTTGGCTTAAAATTTTCCTCGAAAACCATGTAGCCATAAAATAAAGTGATGCCTAAGTGATAACGTGCAGCATGTTTAACATTTGAGGGATGGAAATCCAAAACGTACTATTGCCAAAATACTGATTTTTCAAGAGAATTAATTTGATGTTTCTCAACATTTTTCGTAAAAGCAATAGCAAACCATTTATAAATAGACAAATCATTTTGAAGATAATATATATATTTTTTTAATTATTTAAATTGAATTTTAGTACGTTTTGAACTAACTATTTTACTTTCTTATGCCTACAACATGGGTACCTAACTGTACATTTTGGTATAACGTAATAAAAGTATGGTTTTAGAATAATTTACTAAAATTCGTTTTGGTATGATTGATGATTGGTGCATATTCTTTCAACTTAGGCAATAGGTAGTATATTTTGATGCAACCCTGGAAACAGTAAGTTTTGATTACCTATCTAAATATAAATTTTATATCCTGAAAAGGTTTGTCTAGGATTATTATCCTCCAGTCATTTTTAATAGCTGATTGAGTGTTTGAACAGAAAATTGTACGTTTTGATTCATTCTGACGTCGCCAATCGATTTTTCGATATTTTTTCCATAGAAGAATCGATATGTAACTCGATTTTTTCAATTTTGGCAATAGATAGTACGTTTTGGATTTCCAGTTTGAAGTTTCCACCCGTTAATACCTATTGTTTACGTATCGTGTTTCATACTTCTTTAACTCGTGAACTTTTTTCACAAAACAAAATTCTACATACCTACTACAATTCTATTTAAGATTAATTATGTTTACCTTCTGGCTTCTACGCGAGTTCAGTAGTTTGCACGTACCCAGTGTTGTTTTTTATTTTAATAAATTAATGTTGTCTAAAGTCTAGACATTTCATATTTTCTTTACAACATTATAGTCCCTCATTCGAAGCATATTACTTCTACTGAATCTACTGTCACAGTCACACAACTTAATTAAATAAAAAATGGTGGTAATACCAATTTAATACTTATTACAAAATGTTTAAAAAAACATATATAGGTACATTTCTTATTAAGAGAAATTATTTAATTTAGGTGGATTCACCAAGTCGCGTCATGTATTAAAATATACATAGGTAGTTAAAAAAATGTTGGTCAAGCCTCAAGCGTTAGCTACAAGTTGAATATATTCAACTCTACACGACACGACGAGCTGTGAATCCCCCTTTATTATTTTACCCATTCTGTGGTTCAACCGTGGTTCAACCGTGGTTATATGTTAGTTTTTATTTAACCTGTGGTTTCACGGTTAGCTTGTTCTTATCAATGGTTGAGAAATTGCCCCTCTCTTGGCAATGTTATCAAAATAATACTCAAACAAGAATCATTCAATCATTGTTTATTTATTTACAGCTTTAAACTGTTCGTTGTTACTTATTACTTAACTTTATACTTAATAGTACCAAACACTTAACACTGTCTACGCACATTTATACAAAATGGGAAAGGGTTTCAATAACTACATGTGTAAAAAGTTTTTTCATCCAGCATCAAGAGACAATTTAAAACGAGTAAGTTTTTCTTCAGAACACAACATATAACGTACCCCACAAAATTGCAACAAAATTTAATAATTTATTCGTTTCTGATCTAATTATTTGTATAAAGTATGTCTTAACTTTATTATGTATTATCATTACACTTTAAATGTCTATTATTACTGAATTACTCACTTTTATTAGAAATTTAAAAATGCTCATTACTCGCTCAACGAATTAAATATTGTAAAGAACTAACAAAGATACACAGATAATGTAGGCCTTTATGAATAGTTAGTTCACTCTAATTATTAAAGTAAATTACTTAAAATTGGAACTATTGAGATCAAATTTGCTATGTTGACAGTTTTTAAGAAGGAGACAGAACTTGAGGCTGTGACGTGCTCCTAAATGTTACAATTTGTATCTTTAATTACTCTAACGATTTACAGGTATGGATGGCAGAACAAAAATCTGATAAAGATAAAAAACGTCAAGAAGAACTACGTTTACAGTATGAAAAAGAACAAGATCTTTATAACAACAAGTAAAATACTTAATTACAAATATTTTATACCTACTTTGTTTGATGCTTAATTAATTTATTATGTTTATATTTCTAGAGCATTGTTGTCGAAAGAAAGCAAGGATAAGTTGAGTGTAAATTTTATGTATGAACCACCACCAGGTGCTAAAAAAGAAAGGGAACGTGAAGATAATGAGCCGGAATATAAATTTGAGTGGCAACGAAAATTTAATGCCCCCAGAGAAGAGTAAGTATTATGAAATGTGAAAATTGTTATTAGTATTGTGCATATTGTAGATGTTAGGGCTATCTGTGACGTTATGAGTTGTTTTTATTTTGTATGTAACCCTTTATGTATCATATTATATAAATACAGTTGAAAATGTACCTATTGAATATAAGTATTTTATTAGTTAATCCATTTTACTATGGACATATTATCTATATTATTTCTAATGTACATTATTAGCTTCTTAATATAATTTACATACGAGTAGGTAGATCTGGCATTACCTGAGTTTCATTTTAAAATGTTTAACCTATTCCATGTCTTAGGTAAACAGTTCGCACCTAAATCAGTAGTTTTCAGCTTGTGGGTCAAGATCCAAGTTTGCATGGTATATGTGTGAGAATTGATTTGCTGTATAGTTTTAAGTATTAAAAACATATTTCATTCAATTGCATGAAGCAAATAAAATGAACATAATAATAATAAGGTATTATATTAATTAAAAATTGACTTGGTAATTACTAACAAATAGCAATAAACTGTTGCTAAATGAAATAAACCCTCGCAACTGACTAATGGTAGCCTTAATAAGTAAGTTTTAATAAATATTTAGTTAATATGTTAACCTCTTACATTTAATTAAAACGCATTTTAGTTCCAATGTCTTAATAAGTCCTTATCTTGAGGTTAATTAAGTTTTTTTAATCTAAGTGAGTCGGCAAAAATATAATCTTAAGTAGTTTTTGGCTTTATTGTCAATATATTTTTGTGAACACTGACCTTAATCACAATATAAAATTTTTATGTAGCTCAATTTGATAATGTTACAGATTTTGGAAACTTTGAATGTTAAATTTAGTTATTTTACTGTAGGAAAGCATCACAAAGTTTTAATATTACATAACGTACACATTATACTATTTGAACAACTCTATACTGCTAAAATAAACAAATAATCATTATTATTTCGACCCATGTTAACTGTTTTTAAAATGCAAGAATCAATTTTTCATCATTACTGATACAACTTAAGTTCAACATCTCCAAAAAACTAGTCAAACTTTTTAACAATCTACAACTCTTGGAAAACACTTCCCTAATTCTTAAGCAAGAACAACTTTGATACTTTGAATCAATTTAACTTACAATCTAAAATATTACCATAAATATGATTTTTTGTGTGATAAAATAAAAACTACACAGTCATAATTTTTATTTTATGAATTCATACTAATTTTAAGTGGTTTTCCTACATAGTTACTGCAGAGGGGATGAAGAAATTCGTGATCAGCCCTTTGGTATTCAAGTGAGGAATGTGAGATGCATCAAATGCCATAAATGGGGTCATATTAATACAGGCAAGTACATTTTGAAGTATAGGTATTAGTATTCATTTTATTCTATAGTGATTTTTGAATCATAGCTGACTCAATGTGTTAAAACCAAAAATTCAAGTACAATAAAATAAATATTTTATAGACAAAGAATGTTCGCTGTTTAACCAAGCCAGTATATCAGAAGCTGTAACCAGTAATGCAGCAACAAATGGTTCTAGTGCCAATAAAAAAACACAAGAATTAATAAAACAAATGCGAGAAGATGGTTTAGAATTGAAGAAAAGTGCTGCTTCTACCCAACAACAAATATCATTTAATGTAAGCTCAAAATTGTTATGATTTAACATTTTGTTTATCTGTCGTGTTATAATTTAATTTTAAAAAAATAAAAATAACTTATGAGTGGAGTTCAAATTTAAAGGCAATATAATCAATAAAAAGTATTTAAAATGTCAAAAAGGCAAACAAATTCTATTTATACAAAAAAGCAATTACTAAAAAAAAATTACTAACATATTGAATAGTCAATAAATTGTATATTTAATTAGTTTGTATTAAAAACAATTCACTGCCATATACTAAGATAAACTATCTTCAATAAAAAATACATCCACCATCTTCAATATTAAATGACATTTTTATATAAAAATTATTTCTCTATTATTATTTAAAAAAGGGCTTTTGTCTTCAAATCCAAATCCTACTAATGCATTTTTTAAATGTTGATTTAAATTTTTATTTATGTGATTTTTGCTCTAATTTTTTGTTCAGATAAATTTCTGTTGTTTTATCAATATCTTTGTTATTCTCTTATATTTATATTATGAATATGAACTAATATAACATGGTTTTTTTTTTAATACAATTTAAATCCTGAATGTAAGAAAATAATAAATACACTTTATTTTAAAATTTTAACTAAAATATTTATAATTCTATCATTTCAAATAATGGAATGCTAATTTTCTACTTTTGATAAGTTATAATTTTCACACATTTGCTAAACATTATTAATGACTTACTATTATTTTCAGAACAACGAGGATAGCGATACGGAGCTATTTATGTATGTTAGAACATTGAGTAGAAAGAAGAAAATGAAATTACTCAAGTAAATTAATTCAACTTTATTCAAAATATAAAATACTCACATATATTTTTAACAAAATTTGTTTTTATTTTTATTTTAGACGTTTGGATAGAATGGACAAAATTATGATGAAAGAACAAAGGTTGATTTCAAAAAAAGAAAAACTTTCTAAGAAACAAAAAAAAAATAAAAAAGAAAGTAGTGATAGTTCAGATTAGTTAAGTTAACATTTTATGATTTTTTATTTTTACCTATTTACTGTGCATAAATTATAAACATAGTATGCATTATAATACTACATTAAAGTACATAATTATTCTAAAATTGTATAGTTCCTTTGTGTTCAAAATATTCTGAATATGCAACTAGTTTTTCAATTCCATCCTAACCTAACCAAGAGTGTCTTACCTCAATGTCATCTAGTATTCTAGTTGCATTCATTTTTCATATTCTCCAAAATTTTGTAAGACGACAGGATATTGTTATATTGTCAATAAATTCAGGATTCTTCAAAATACTGGTATTAATACTCACCATTTGCTGTTCAGTACACCAAAAACATATTCTACAATGGGTCTATGTCTGGGTAGCGGGCAGAAAATAATTGAAAATTCTGAGTCTCATTAAGTTCTCGTTGGTAGTATGGCCTCAACAGATTTAAATGAAGGGTAAGTGCCTCATCAATTACAAAAACGTAAGGTTATGGCAAACGTTGATAGTTAAGTAAACATGTAGGATCAGGAATATTAAGGTTTGAATACAACTTTTTCTTTTGAGATATTATATCTTATATTTGTTTAAAAGATATGTTGTTATTTTTAGGACAACTAGTACTATAAGTAAAAGAAGAAAAATGTATGCAACGACTTTTTCTCTAATTATAGTTTTATTGATTATGCTACAGAATGTAAGCTAGCTGTATGCCTTTATAAATCTGCATAAGTTATTAATCAGTAAAAATGTTAATATTACTCCAAAGTTATATTCCCAATTATATGTTATACAATACTTAAAAATCTCGAGTCAAACAATATTAATGCCCAGACTTAATCTCCAAATCAACATTAGATTATTTCTTATAATTCTCTTGCAACGCATTACTATCTGCCTTCTGTATTCACACAAATATTGTATCTTTTTTCATAAAAGTTGCCTAATAATTCAGTTAGGATTTTCAACTAAAATAGTTATAAACAGTCATTAATTTTTTGTAATACATGTCCTAATGGCAGTAATTCTCCTTATACAAATAACTAGAAATGTAACTGTAATTGTAGAAATGTACTTTTAAGTATACCATCTACACAATATCGAGATGTTTGTTTTATTTTTGTTTAAAATTTTAACAATACCATATGTTTAATTTTGAATTTAAAAAAACTTAATACCTTTAAAAAAAATATATTTGACGTCAAACAACTATTTTGAGTATGTTCAAAAAGTCTTCGCCTTTGTACTTCCCTTTCAAATTAATATTAATACTTGATATTTTAATATTAATTTTAAAAAGGAAGTACAAAGGTTAAGACGTTTTGATTCCACATGACATGCCATTCGACTTTAAACGGTTGCAAATTCCAGTGTAGCTAGATTGCATTGCAATGTCAATAAATAAATCTCAAGGGCAGTCGTTAATTGTTTATGGCATAAATCTTGAAAATCCATGTTTTTCATATGGCCAGTTATATGTCGCCTGTTCCCGTCTTGGAATTCCAATTAAATTATTTATATAGGCGCAAAAGAAAAAAACTAAGAATGTTGTATATTATCATAAAGCATTAGAATAATAAACACTTTTTTTGTAATAATTTTCTTATTAATTATACCAATTTGAATTCAATATTCATAATTAAGACAGAACTACGTCTGTCAGGTCAGCTAGAAAAAATAGTTAGCTAAAAACATAAAGCTACCCAAAATCAATGATATTAAAAATGTTTTCCCAGTCCCACCGAGGCATATTATTATAAAATTAAAAACAACATCCACCATCTGCTATACACAAAACCTCAACTAGACGACCATGAAATAGTTCATTTTGTTTGGATAGCAATACACCATATTATGCATTATTATGAACAAACCTTTATGTTGAAGACACTCAGACTACTAATTATGTGAATATTACAATCATTTTTCATTTATTCAATCTTTTTTACTATAACCACTTATGTCACAACTGCTATATTATACGACTCAACCCTTAATGCAATTTTGAATTTTCTTTGGAATAATAAAAATAATTCAGAAACATTTATTATAATATAATTTATTTGTTGTGGATATGAAAAATACAAAAATATCAAGGTTAAGAATGCATTAGTAAAAAACTTTTACTTAACTTATACTCAGTTGTACTTAAAATTTTCAAAATAAAAAACTCATAGAAAATATGTATAAAACTATAAAAAAATGTTCAGTCTTAACATTAACTAACCTTAATAGTAAATTATAATTAAAAAATGATGTTCAGCTTTAAACATCATTAGAAGCAGTTGTAGTAGTCAATACAATTTTAGGATCTGAATTATCTCCATAGACGCCCGGATTAAAGAAAAACCGTTTGTTGAAACCTCTAAAAGACCATTCCACTGTTTGAAATCCATGATGGACGCTGTTAAGTTTTTCAACTTCATAGTCCACCTAATTAAAAAAAGTTAGTTTTATCTTGATTCAAAAATAATAAAAAATTATTGTTTACCATTAACATCATTTCATTCAAATCAGTGTTGTAAGCATTTTTACGAACTACTTCACATAATTTTTGAACAAACCATGAACCATCTATCGGATCACGTTTAGCAGTATGTCCTATAAATAAAAAAAAATTTTGTGATGATAAAAGATTTAATTAAATAAGAGAAATCCTATACTATTAAAATCAATTATTTAAATTGTTTGTATGATTTTGATTTAAAACTTACCAGGAATAGTGGCATATGCTATGAACACATCTTTATAACGTCGTTCAAAAATTGTGGTGAATGGTGACGAAATCGAGGAACTGTCATTGTGTAAACGATTAATTTCACCATCATGGTGTTTCCAACCAAAATCACTATTCTTTCCACTTAAAAAAACACAAGTATTTATTGCATGTATCAAAAATATTAAAAAAATTATTTCTATCTTACCGACACGCTTGGATAAAAAATAACTTCGGTATATGTTCAATATAATTGACTACAAATTGTTCAATTATCCAGTCTGTGTTTATTGGTACGCCATCCGCAGCCAATATATCTGATGATCTAGTTGACTCTTTTCCGGCTTCACCGTGACTCATTATAAAAACAACAATTGAGTTAGCCTTTTCACTTACACATACATTAATGAATTCATTAATAACATTCTTAAATTGCTATAAACAAAAAACAATTTAAAAGTCAATATTTTTTTAAGAATTTCTTTGAACACTTTAAATTAATTTAATAAATACATATTTGGTTACTTACTCTTTCAGTTAAATCTACTTTTGGGTGAACAATATATCCAAGGCCTTTAAATAATTTCTTTAAGTTTTCCATATCAACATTTGATCCCTTTCTTTCGTCTCTATATTTTATATTATTAATATTTATAATCAATGCATGTCCTTTAGGATTTGATTCCATTGGATAAGCCCCAGAAAAAAACTGTAAAAATGTATGTTCAATGTAACATTTTAATATTTAATATAAAATTAAAATAAACGAATCTAGGAAAAAAAGCCCCATACTACCTAACTACATTATTCTTTTTTTATTTTTATTTTCATGATTAAATATAATCATTAAATTTATCCATGTAACACTTCTTTACCATATCTATAACCATAAATATAATATTTTTAATACTAGTTTAATAATTTGTACAAACTTTTATAGTTTTATGTCAAAATAATATTTAATAAGCCAATACACCTAACATTAATCAATTGATGTTAACAATTGTTTTAATTTATTATTAATCTCTGGTCAGGTGACACTACTGAGGGTCTTCCTATTCGAATATTTCATAATGTCATATAAACTTTGTCATCATACTTACTGATTATTGTAAAATAGATTGTAAATATATGTTAAAAAAAAAAAAAAAAAATGTATTATTAAATTATTTGATTATACCATTATGCATCTAAATCACACCTACCTTGTCATAATATGCAGGCCACAATCACGTTTGAAATTTAACATGTATATTTTCTATTTCAATACAATTATAACGGCTATGCCATCATTATCAGAAATAAGATAAATTAAATTTCCTACCTAGATATAAAAGACTAATAAAACTTAATTTTTTTTATAAAATACATATTTTGACTACGAATAATATGTGGCCTGCTGCATAAAAAGGTTGGAGAACCCTGATCTAAATTATTATACTAGGTAATACATTTATTTGATTAAAAGGTAGTTATTTAAAATTAATTATACCTAGTATATGACATTAAACAATAATAAATTATATCACTATTAAAAATCATGTAGTGAAGAGAAAATCATACTTAACATGAAGGTATAGGTGCCCACTTTTTATTAAAAATAATCACAATAACTATATGAAAGAAAAAACTACATTTTTAATATAAAATATTGTCAATACTCAGATAGAGCCAATAATAAAATATAATACCTTCATCATTTTTAAGATAAAGTCATATGTCAATTACTTTTATTACTATATACTGTAATATCTTATATTTAAAATGTATGTTTATACCTAAATAGTTTAAAATATTGGATTTATTATTTTATTAAATACTATTATGATATATAAGTATATAAAAATTATATATTATAGATATGGTCATAGATCCCTACATCAAAAAGTATAGATAAATCGTGATATATTATTTAAAAATTTAAAATGATAAAATGTACACTATAATAGAAAAGTGTTAGGTATTTAGTTGGTATGGGCTTTTTTTCTAATACCAAATTAACATACAGCAGTGTTCAATTTTGCTTCATATCTTTTCATAAGTTTGCGTTCAGGATGAACCGTGACGTATGAATCATCATGATCTAAGATGACTTTGTTAAATTCTTTGTCCAATGAACTTAATTCATCTTCCTCTTCCTCACTGAAAAATGAGAATAAATCGTAAATAATATTTCATATTCTTTAAGTATAAAACAAAAAAATCTATAATTAATAAACACAAAAGTTGTGGTTGATTTTATTATTGTGAGTATAAAACTATTTTACTAAGCGGCTCATTTTTTAAAAACTTTTTTCTGCAACAAAGTATTTGTATAATGAAAATAAGGCAGGAACAAAGTTTTAGGAAGACTAAATTTTAATTTAATAGCTATTTGAAGTCTGTTATCTTTATGGACCTACTTAGGTAGTTTTATATAACAAAGTAATGGATGTTTTCAATTTGAACTGCACTGAAGTCTCCATAAAATTCTAATTTCTCCATCATTTTCACTCATTAGCATACAAAAATTAAAATTTAATTAAAAGTTCTACAGTAAAGTAGCTTTCCTGCCTACTTTGTACTATATAATTTCTTGGAAAACTTCAAACAAAAATATAATTTACAAGGAATATAATTTCCTAAAAAAAAAAATAAAACTTTATGAACTCATTTACAAAAATAAAATAAATACTAATTTATTATAATTTAATAAAAATGTTATATCATTTTTGAAATATGAGTGTTTTACATTACACACTGTCGGTTTTCTAGTACATGCACTTTGCATACCATACAATAATAAAACTAAAAGAAAATTAAGATCATTGTAAAACTCTAAAATCAAAAGACTTCAATCAAATATAAAATAGAAATGTACTAACAACTTTTTAATCAATAAGCAAATTCATTTTTAATATAAGTAAGTAGCAGGTAAGTACCATGTTTTGGATGTTAAAACGTCGTGAGCTTTTATGTTGCCTGTTTCTTTCAATACTTTACATATATTTGTAAATGCTTCAGGCCCCCGTTTTTGAATTACTTCGTACAATTTTTTTGTTTTGGATGAATCTCCCTCATTACCCTACAACAATACAAGTCCAAGTTAAAATATTTGTAAATCATAAATAATTTAATATGTGAGAGAAGAATATCAACAATTAAATGAAAAAGTCTTACCAAAATATAATCTTTCATCCATTCATTGATTACAACCCTATCAAAGAGGATATCTACAATAGCTTTTACATCGAAAGTAACAGATACTAATTCTGACATACGCTTGTTAATCAATTTTCGATGATGTTGTTCCATTATGACTGAGCAAATGTAGTTGAGCAAATTCAATAATAGTATATACTCAAAATTAAGTAATGTACTAAAGTCTTATTGTTGTTGATAGGTAATTTATGCTACCTATAGTGTAATAGTAAATAAGCAGTAATTAATAAACTAGTAATATCATAAACATAGACATTATAGTGTCTCATAAAAATAATAGTTACTTGTTACTGCCGTCTACCTGTTGCCTGTTGACTTGCACAACCATAAACATTAGATTAAGTACTAGCCACTAGGTACGATTATGATTGTTCTATGGTATGATGTACGAACACGACTGTATTAGTATAGTTCAGGAATCATGACGCATGAGTAATGACTCAATGACTCATGAACATTGTCCTGTCCCGACCTGTCCTGGTCAACAGTTGTACTCGACAGACGAGGGAGAGACGACACTATTATTGATAAGCGCATTGTATGATAACAATCAAGATTGAAACCTGGTAGCGTCGAATTCGTTGCCAATAAAAACCAAACTTTATGGTATCCGCAAACCGCAAAAGCGCTGAAGTCTGTAGACCATTGACATCTAAATATAATTTATTTTTATGTCTATGCCCTAGACCGTCACGGCGACGATACTTGTGTCAATTTCTGTGGAATTTTCTTTTCACTTTCCAGGAATCTAAGTAATTTAGTATTTTACTCACAGTTGTAGATATACAACCACGTCCATGTTAAAAGATTTATCCAATCCATTTAAGTTCAAATTTGGACGAAATTAGATACCTATTTAAGCAATAAAGAATAACAATTTTGGTTATTTTGTTGTAATTTATGTACCTATATAATTCGTTGGTTATTGAAACTTTTAAAGTATGTAAGTATAATGTTTATAATTATATTTATAGGTACACACCATGAAGTGTTCAAATTCAATGTTTTCCGAAAAATGTAATCCAACTTTTATGTTAGGTACCTACTATCTATACTAAATTATACCATGCTGTAACCTGTAACTCACTGTATACCGGCACTAATTATAAATATAAATTAGGTACTATATGATCGGGCTGTGTTTAGTTGTAAATGGCCTCCATCGCCCATTATTGTAACGAGTGAAACAATAAAAACTCCCATTGAACCGTCTCCAGAGTGGCCTACGCCCTACATATGCTATACGGTTAGCTGATAATGGCAAAGAATATTGTAAGTACATTACTATAAACACAGACAGTGATATAGTATTCGTTACATAATATGTTTAGTAATTAAAATCTAATTTCAGTAAATTTCAATAAAGCATAGCATCAAAAAATTAAAATAAATTCTGAAGCTGAAACAAGAAAAAAGAATAGTCATAAAAGATCAAGGATCGTATCACATCTTTCTTCTGATTCGGAAAGTAAGTTGTGACATTTTAAAACTTCCCAATTTCAAATATAAAAATTAATTATTACCTATTATTGGAAATGAATTTGTGTAATGAAATGAAACATTTCAACTAAGGCAGTGAAACATCTGCTTGATTACCTACATAGTTTTATAATTAACATTAATATTTTAATTTATTGAATCAATTGTTTTTGCAGGTTATCAAATATGTAGTACAGCAGATAACTCTGGATTAAAAACGGTAGATATATTTTATGTTTATTTTTTTAAAAAAAGTACACTGAATATTTTTCATATTTTAAGTTTTCTTAACTCATAAAAATTAATTTAAATTCAGTTTTTCCTCTTTTGTGTCTTATAATTATTTATGTTGGCTTTTAGACTCCAGGTAATATAAATAAAAATGATACATCAGGGGTCCACATTGAAAGTTTTAGCATGATAAATTATAGTAATCTTACTATTTCTAATAAATTAATAATTCTGTTTTACCGCTCAAACATTTAATCGATTCATGAAATAAATATATTTGTTTAAACTTAGATATTATGTATAATTTACTTACTTTGTATTGTTTATTTTTAGATTTCTGCGTCCGACAAATTTTCAGTTGGCCAAAATTTGATTATCCCTTTTATGTTTTCATCAAATAAAAACCCAGAAAATGTACAGCTTGAAAAGGATGGCCAGAGAATGGTAATTGTTATTTTAAACAACTAATTAATTTATAACAATTCACAACTATTCCAATAAGTACATTCTTATTTTCAATAATTTTAAACACATTTTTAAATGTTTTCCACTTAAAAATAATTAATGATGAATCATTGTTAACAATTATATAGGTGCTCAAAATAGAATAATTTAAATTAAGCATTATGCCTATGTACATTATGAATGTAATTAATTTGGTTTTTAGGCTTCTATGGATGAGAATGCAAATAATGAAATTGTGAATTCAATTAAAGCCACTACAAATTGTTTCAATGCTACTCATGTTGATAATTTGGTATGTATACAACCTAAATACTTTAAAGAAATTTTATTGATTGATTGTCTTTACTTCATAAATAAATTATACCGTACATAAAAAAAACAAATTAACTAGATATATAAACTTAAAATTAAATTAATTGTCTGAACATTCAATTTTAAATATAATACTGTGGTGTCGGGTGCTGCATGAAGATTATTTTAGCCTTTAGGTATTGAGTTCTATGATCTATGGTAGGTACATTTATACTGTTCCAAATTAATTTAATATTTAATCAAAACATCATTGAGGTTCAATGAAATAGCTATTTTTTTTTATTTTTTTTATTAATAATGCAATCAAATTATTATGTAGGTACTAATACTATAATATCATAACATACCATCTACTTCTACATATACTTGTGTGTACGACATGTGTAATTCTGTATCAGATAATAATGAAGAGCAAAATGTTACATTTCTGTCAAGTAATATTTTTTATTAAGTTACAAATTTATCTAGTTACAGATTTATTATGAATACTTATTCATATGGTTTTTATTTTAATTATTATTAAAAGCATTAAATGGTGCAAACACACAAAAAACAGTAATGGTAATATTACTAAGCATTGAGAATCAAAATAATTTGATTGTGAAGGAATAATCTATCATGAAACTAATACAAAATCGCTTACTAAATAAAATCAATGGTTTAGAATTAAATATTTAAAGAAATAATAATAACAGCAATGGATCATCAATGCATTTGGATTCTGATTTCTTATCAAAATTTCCTCTAAATGATTTTACTATGTATCTAGATGTATAAAATATAACTTTAAATGATTCTTCTTTTAAAATTAAATTGGTAAGAATATTTCATTAAATTCTACAATACTTTAAGTCTATAAAACAAATAATTAATAGGCGTTTAAATTGGGTATAGGAATATTTTATAAGAAATGTTGATAGTTCTAATTATAAAAATCATGTACAGCTAATGATAGGAAAGTTTTACAATGACAAATATGCTACAAAATGTACTAGAACCGGTAGCGGAAAAGACGAAACAACAACGGTTGGACAATCTGAATTTCTTAATGTTTTAAAGTATACATTTTTTAAACACTTTCAATGTATTTGTTTGCAAAATAATTGTTTGACTAATCTATTTTCAAACTAAATAATTAGGTCACTATTTATTTATTTTATTTTAACAAGGGTTGTGAAGGAGTCTAGCAGTGGTAGTTTTGTAGAATTTACTGATTAAAATTTTGAAAATATTGTAGATGAGTGGTTAAGATACACAAGCATAAGATTAGCTAGGTCAAAAAAGATGACTAATTGTTTTTTATTTTCCAAACTAAGATTTTTGGATGTTCAGTATTACATTTTATTTTTTATTTTAACGCCAACAGTTTATACATTTTTCTTCAAACATTATTATACTTTATTATTAAAATATTTCTGAACCAGTTATAATAACAAATATACATTTATTTATTTGGATATGATATTTTACTTTATTTAATAATTTTAGAAAATAAGCAGAAAGAAGAAAGATTTGGGACTAGTAACAGCTGGACACTTCAGAAATATTATAAATTTGGAAAAAAAAGAAACATAATACCTCTTTCAACCAATTACAGCTAAATTAAAATAACTGTGATTCATCTCCATTAATTAATGTAACTACAATTGCTTCTATTTCTTCAACCTAATAATCATTTAGTTGAATATCCTTTGAGGCTTGGAAAGATACATTTACAGCTCAAAATAATACTGCATTTAATGTTTCAAACATTATATCTGATAACCATATTGGACAAAATATACAGTCCCATATTATTGACTTAAAAGATATAATTTAATCTTGGATATTACATCAAAAGGTATCCCATAATTGTGCCAACTCTATATTAAAAATTATGAAATCTGAAGGCTTACAATTTCCTAGTGATGTAGGTACGCACCTTGATAAAAATACCTGTTTCATAAAATTGTTAATATGGATAACGGTTTATACATTCATTTTGGACTAGAACAAATGTTAACTCCAATTTTAAAAAAGTATTTCGATAAAATAGACTTAAATAATATTTTAAAATTAGGAATCAACATAGATGGCCTGCCAATTTCGAAATGTTCTAGAAAATAAATATTTATATAATATCTAAGAAATCTTGTAATAGCGAAGTATTGCCAGGTCAGCTAGTATACATATAATAGGTATATTATTATCGAGTACTGAAAATAAAAACTCTATGTTTATTTAACACAGAGTGGATTGGTATATTAAAGCACGACATAAAATATATTATTATTTTTTATTTAAATAAATAGGCAGGTATGCACAAAGATTATGGATAGGTTTCTGTGAGAATAATGTTGATCGAACGGCAAACTACCGACATTTCTAGTAGAATTAGTTATACACCACGAGAAGTTACGTTGAAACCATTTGCGGTCAGACGGCGGTTTGGGGAAAAAAAGCGGAAAACGCGTCTCTTATGGCGTGGAACGCAAACGCGTAACAAGCCTCCGAACAGCCTGAACGATCTCGAACGACTGTCGCGGGCCGAGTCGATACTCCGCCATTGCCACTGTCACCACTGTCATCGCAACTGCCACCGCCTCCACCGACTTTGCTGTCCACTGTCACTGCAAACACGTAACACGACGGCGTCGCGCTCACGGTGGTCACGACGTGGCGTCCAGTCACGTCCATCGCTTCGCCGGACACCAGTCTCACGGCCCCGTCATCATCTCCACTACCCGTCCACGATTCATGGACGGCCACGGCGCCCTCGAGCACGGCCAACGTGGTGGTGGTCGCTTCCCGGTCGTCTGTGACGTTCCTTACAGTCATACCTATGTAGACGGACAACACATACAAGACAATTATATATTTTGGAACCTGAAATCGCAACCATATTAGTGAGATACTCTGCAGACACGACTAGGATCGAAATTCTTTTAGTGAGTGAAGTCGTTGGAAAGAGGAGGAGTTGAGCACAACTTGAATGATACATCGAAAAATCAGTGTCCACGCTCCCCTACAACAACGGTTTTAGAAGAATACAATATACGTAAGCTCATAATAATAATGACAGTGACGTATACGAAGAGGTATGTAACGTCTCTTTCTTTGACTCAACAATACCATATTCTCCTAACACTTGGGTGTCGGAGTCCGGGTAAGGATGCTATATGTCTTTATTTTATAAAGAGCTAGCTTAGCGGCGGTTGACATGTTTTGGCTACAGGTGGTTGATTAAATAGAGAAAACAGTTGTGGGACACTTGTGCGTCACCGATTAAAACCTCGGTTGCCTCCAGGGTAGCTTCTTATGTTTAACAGAGTATAAATAAGCACGACTTACGGTCAAGTGTGTTCGGTTGATAGAGATGGAGATGTTACAGTTGGTGGAGGCGCTGGGCAAGTGTGGAAGAAGAGTGAGAGCTGGTCAAGTGTGTCATTGGGTTGAAGTAAGTTATATTGTTTTCTAGTTACGATTGATTACATGAAAAATTAACGGTTTTAAAATGTTCAATTAATCAAACTTCAGAGTTTTTATGGCTCAGTTTAAAATGCATACATTTATGCCTGGCATTTTTTTGGTACCTTATCAACACATACTTTCTAGAGAAAGTAATTTGAAAAAAATTATGAACACGAAATATAAGGACCAAATGTCATATTATGTTCGTTGTTCTTACCGGGAAAATCAGCAAAAAATAGTAAGTCGTCATCGGTGCTGCGTTTTGCGTTCACTATCCAAGGCCGCCACCAGTCCAAGTGCCGGATCAATGGCAATAGCCAGGGAACGGGTGACCAGGGTGACCAAGGGGCGTGCAATATATCCACGTCTGGGTCAACCAGTCGCTGGTGGAACCGGCCGTTGAGTGACCCCCAGATGTCCATTTTGATGGACATGTTGTCATGCCTGTCAGGCATGTTAGCCGCCACGCACCCCGCGAACTGCTTCAACATATCACCGTGCAACATCCACTTGTTGTTGTCAGTCCAGCCCTATCACGATGACTCTTTTTACTAATTATATATTATTTTGTTTTTCAGTTAAAATTATTATTTGTTTTAGAACTTTGAAAGTGCAGTATATTCCTTTAGCTTTTGGCTGTTGATTTGTAATGTATTTATTTGCTAAACTTTATCGAACAATACGCGGAAAAAGATTTCAAAGGTATACCTAATGTCGCGTTTGCTTAAATTCAATATATTTATAGTAAATTCATTATTTTATATTTATATACGAGTCTCACTCGTTAGAGGTAAAATAATTTAATATTATATGAAAGCTAATGTTAAGTAGAATTGTTTGGCTTACCTATAATATGTACATGGAATTATTTGTATATTGTTTATAAGGCCTAGAGTCATTGCAATAAATTAAACGTTTGCGGTCTGATGTTCCTCTATAGTATGCCTACTATAAATTTTATAAAAACAAGTATATTATTTCTTTGTAAATATTTAATTTATAAATTAAATTTTTTCATTAAAAATAAAAAAATAACTTTATCTACATAAATAATATAATATGTAGTTTGTAATGTATTAATATGTATTTATATTTATGTAGCTGGGGGCCACTAAAGTGAGAGTTGGAGATTTGTCCCAATTTTAGTACTTGTAATTTGTGCCACCATTAGTGTCTATGTAGTGTCAAGTCCGTATGTAATCTGTGCCAAAATAAAAACAAATAACATGTAGGTAATTTGCTTCACATCTAGGTATTAATTTTAGGAAGCTACGGAACACTTTCAATTTAAAATGCTGGGTTCTATTCGATAAATTTTCCAAGCTCACATCAGTTATAGCATAAATAACATATTAACAACATTAGCAACCTGACAATAAATGATAATATTCCTGATTTTTTGTGTATTTTATTATTAACTAAAAATATGTTGCTCATTTTACACAAATTACCTAAGTGATTTTCTTAAAACGTACTTATTAAAATGTATTTGATTGATAAATGATTAAAAATATATACATAGAATGTTCCATTTATATGTGTCGACACTTCTTGTTTCTAAAAGTTTTAACTTTTTTGAAATTATTTTTTATATATTATACTGACATTTTAAAACAACATTAAAAAAAAAAAAATTTTTTGAATTTTTTTGAATGACTCCATAGCTTATAATGTTTTTTATTTATTTTCATGTTGAATTATTCGGAGTATTTCAATCGTAAATATCAATATATAATTTCGATCAAATTTTGGACAAATAGTTCATTAATTTACGAGTATATGCATTCAAAATTTCAACGAGCGGATAAGTGGACAATATTTTGCGAGGTACTTACCTTTTTAGCACTCTACTCCGCCCATCTAAACTTTAAATGCTTATGACTAATAAACTACTATTTCCAAAATTGTATCTATATTGACTGAAATACTCTGAACAATATTCAGCTTCGGAATATGAAATAAAAATCTATGGCGTCATTTGGAATAGTAAAAAAATTAAAAAATTAAAATCCTATAAATAATAGTAAACAATATATTTTTTCCCAAAATTACTGTTTTCAAATCATATAATAAAAAAAATATATTAAATAATGAGTGATGACTGAAGACACTTCAATGGATCTTTCTGTGTGTAAATAGTTAAAAAAAAATTTTTATTTAACTGGCGCAAATTACAATGTTTATTAGTACAAGATTGCACAGACAATAAACAAACTATACCCTTTTATCTAGTTTGGCTTCAATTGCCAAAATTAATTTTTAGATGTGAAATAAATTGTTATAATATGTATACTCCATAATGCACAGAAGCATTATTACGTATTTGTACATACTGGTGGACCACTTAACATTCTACCCATTAGAGTGAAATTGCTGGATGTTCATAATATTGTAATGTATAAATAATCTACCTAGGTGTCGATTCATTTAGCTCTACAGATTTGTATACAATAATTGAAAAATGTATTGGCCAATAGGTATATTATTACATTAGGATCCAAGTAGAATTGTTCACGGCGCACGTGGTCCAAGACCTTTATTTGTACCTTGGCCACGTCCACGTTGTACACCATCATGTCCCAAGAATATCCGTACAATCCGTTTCGCCATCCGTTGTAACCCTGTAATAAATGTAATGTTATAGGCCAGGAATGGTGAACCTATGGCGAACTCACTGGTCAGATTTTATCGACAATCGAAAAAATCCATTGAATTTTATGAAAAACCATTCTGTATTATTTCTTAAAATAAAGTTATTTATTATAAGTAGGGCCCGGAAGTTCATGTATTTGCATGTTTTTACTGAATGGACTAAAAAATTGCTGGATCAGCTACAAATTTGAATTATACTTGTACAAATCCCAATACAACATTTTATTTTGCATATAATTGCATATTTTGGGTTTTTTTTTATGTATTTGAATATTTTACAATTTTTTTGTTATTAACTGCATATTTGAGTCAAATATTATGTAATTGACAAAATAAATTACTTCTAAAAGACCTATTATAACCCCACGACCGTGGCGGCCCGATAACGGCTAATGGACCATATGTTTATTTTTAGAAAAGTTTTAATATTTTTCATCACGATTACGATACTTTCGTTAAATTTGAACAAGTTATTAAAAAGAATCCGGGCTTTATGACACTATCCAAAATTTCAAAAATTATGCTGGGAGAAGAAATGACAATGGATAATTTACCTGAAGATTTTTCTTGTGATAGTTTGCTATATTTTAAATTACGCACCAATTTCTTCGGTTAATGTGGAGCTTTTTGGTGTACAAAAATATGTTGGCAGATAACAGGTGGTTGTTCAGATTTGAGAATTTATCAAAATCGTTGATTGTGAATTGTAATGTTTAAAAATGTATATTAATTAAAAAAATAATGTTTTTAATTACTAGGTAGTCAAAGAAATTGAAATAAAAATCGTGAATAGTACTCATAAATTCATAACTAATAATTTTTTTTCCTCATATTAATAAGTTAAAAAAAAAATAAGGGCATATTGAAGCGCATATATCAGGATTTTTAAACGCATAAGTGCATACATATTTCGTTAGTTTTTAGCGCATAAACTTCCGGGCCCTAATTATAAGGGTTTGGATCTATCACTAAGTTCGGTTTGCATTCAGACATCATATTTTGCACTTAAAAAAAACTCATTCCAATAAGGTTACTGAATATTTTTATCATCATTTATAGGTACCTATGTTATATGCCTAGTAGTGCATAACTACGTGGAAGTTATTATTTTCCACAATGCTTTATTTCGAATCAAAACAGAGGAAAAATGCTTTATCGGACAAAGCTGCAAATACTGAATGTGTTTCATTCAAACATTTCAGACTTACAAAACACTTAACTGGTATTAATTTACTTAAGTTTGGCACGTGACCAGGAAAAGGCTTGCCACCATATTGTTATAGTCATGTACTATAAGATTATATTTCGTTATACAATTGTTTATATTCTGCAATTATACACTCGTTATTCAAGTTAATGCATAAATGCACAATATGCATTTCAGATTCTCACATCGGCCACATCGCTATTAACTAATTATTAAAATAGCAAAATATAATAAACCAGTCTTCGACTTGATTGATTAATTTCAATTTTGATAGACTTATTTTACAACTTACATTTTTTTTTTAAATTAACTTAAATATTATCAAGAATAACATTTAGAATTATAAAAATCAACGGACACAGTGAGTGTATAGCAAGCAATTAAAGTCAAAATGAAAACGGATAGTTCGTAGTCAGAGTCTAAAGGTTATAGGATGCATGGTTTATCCTTCGGGCTTCGGTTACACATGGCATGCTTATAGCTGATATGCCATAACAGGTATGCTTATACCTGTGTCACTATATGTGAGTACGGCAAAAATAATTGCAAAGCTGTGTACAGACAGACTCCTGCGACGATGGCGTTTTGTTTGGTCCTTGTCGGTGGTTTGTAGACTGAGGAATTTTGTCCGGATTTATCGTTCCAGACAGATTCAACAGCGGTCCTCAAAGTTTTAGACATCGTCGCCGGATCGCAAAATACCGGTATCATCGCGGCGCAAACGTATGGAAACATACCTGTTCATGTAAAATATTATTCGAACGCTATATTATTTGATTTTGATAAAAATAAACGGCGGAGTACAGCTTTGTAATATAAATAAAAATAATCAATACAATTTTAATTTGTGATAAGTAAAGTAAGTTATGTTTAATGGAGTCAAATTATTATTATTTTTCATGAATAAGAAAAAGATCTCTTAGGTAATTAGTATTGCATTTTAATTGCCAATAAGAGTATTTAATACAGTATAATATGAAAAACACATCTGAAGACTGAAACTATATAGACGTATAATTAATAATTATACAAATTGTTAGTATGAAGTGTTTCATTGTCGTCTTCGCATACTGATATTCACGTCATAAAATATCGTGTGTGTAAGATACAAAACACAAGTGACTGCCTATTTCTGTATACTCACCTATGGTAAACATGGTTGCGTTCATGCCATGAAAAGCGAGCAGTACAACAATGGTAAACAGTCGAGTGGATCGGAAACACAATCCGAATCCTGACAACAAGTCGATGAGAAATCCTCCGACGTGCACTATCCAATGATCTATGAATTCAGCTGAGAAAAAGTACCTGCAGCAGTTTGGGGAGGCAAAATCAAAATGTATTAGGTAATAACTCACCATTGATCACGGTTTAATGTTCGCCACTTATGTCGAGTCGAACGACGGAGTAGAAAAATGTATTATAATATTTAGTGGCGTAACTCCAAAATTTAGGTTTAGGAAGGAAATTTTCAAAGCTCCTCCCCTTTATCTAGTTAAGTATCAGAGAATTCACAGGAGCGATGGTCAATTTGTTGAAAATGTTTCATACACTTTTTTTTAATAATTTCAGATGTTTTTTTTATCACACATCATTTCATGAAGACTAACTAGTGGACAATATAATATACCTAATATAGTTGTACGTATAGTATTTTGCAGTTCACAATTTAAAAATAGCTGTCTACCTTTGTTATTTATAAAATACACTTAAATGCTTTCAAATTTTTATTTAATATTTTAAATTTCCAGTAAGTTTATTCCATAAACATGAAAGTTGAGTGAGTAATATATTATTATTATTGACAACTCATTTCTGATACATGTGCACGAAATTAATATTAAATTCAAGCGTGTAATAGTTACAATAAATTTAGTTGACAGTATATTATTAAAGATGAAACATACCTCCGGTTCTCTAGCGTTCGTGCCCAGCTATTAGATACCACACCCACTGATCATTCTTGAATTACGCCACTAATGATATTTTGTATTATTTATTGAAGAAATTAACATATTATATGCACCTGAATGGGGTGAAAGCGTGATGGTGACCCAACGACATCATCGAGTAACCCCACAGCCAATCGGGTTCGAATTTCTTTAGGCCAGCCACAAAGTACATGATGAAAAACTGTATCCTGAGTAGTAGATAGTTCCAACGGGGCACCGACGATGGCGCATCTAACTGCGTTTTTCGCCGAAGCCATCTGTCCACGGACCTTGGGGTAATACTCGTGTGGTGTAAACATAATATATTATGTATGTATTATTACAGTGTTGGGGAAGTTATATTTTTTGGAAATTAAATTACCTTTAAAAATTGTGTATTTGTGTTGACATTATTCTTAAGTTACTTTAGTTTATTTGGTCATTACATTACTTTTGTGTTGAAAAAGTAACTCTATTACAATTAAAATTAATTAATTATTTTTATTTCAAAAAAATATCACCGGATGTTATGTTTGCTTGATGTTATCGGTACATCAACTAAGTAGGTAATGAGTAATGACTAAAGATAATCAACAATATGGAGTTGTATAAAATGTTTATTTAAGAACCAAAGGTGGCATTATTGTAATTTATTATTTAATACAATATAATATTGTTTTATAATGACAGGAAAATCGTATGTAGGAATTTGTATGAAATATAAATATAATGTAATATGATATATTTACACATATATTATCAATTGGTCCTTACTTCTTAAAATGTATAAAATAAAATAAAGTAACTGAGTAACTTAGTAATTAGTTTTACTTGAAATATGTAGTCTTAATTACCATGTACAAATAACCTACTAACCTACTAACAATAAACCATCGAATTACTTAAAAATTAATTCAGTTCCAGTAACTTGTAGCTTGAGTTGATCGTCTCCCTAACACTTTAATTATATGACAGTTATAGCGAAGGAGAAAAAATATATTACTATAGGTACTCTGCTTACCAGTTGCGATGAGCATCTGTCATGGAGAAAATCACGATCAGCAGTCCGAACAGATATGAATGGTTGTTCCACGAGCTTTTATCGGCTAAAAATATGTACCAGTAAGGGATCGCATACACGGCACAACTGATTCGGTAGTGGAAGCCGGTGAACACGCCGAGCACTCCTACACGAGTAACGGAATGAAGTTTTCAAGACGTACTTATTTTCAAGTCAAGTATTTAAGTATGTGGAAAAGTGTTAGAGTGTAAATATTACACACACACATACACACTGATGTATTATGTATATATGTATATTGTATACATTTGTAGATATTTAATAAACATTCTTGTGATTGTGACTCACCGGAAAACATTGCCACGTACGCCAGGCACATCCATCGGCCGGGCAGTGGTTTGACAAAGTCGAAAAGTGGAAAATAGCACTTCATAGGTTCCATCCATCGTTTTTCGGCCTGGCAAAAACCTCGTTCGTCCATTGTGTCGATCATCATCAGCAGACCTACCCATTACAGTGTTGTAAGACTCCCATAAAATTGTCTACATTCACAGGTATTAAATCTCAATGATCGTTATCGTAGACCATACAGTATAACACTATACTAATGTAAAACCTTGTCTCGTCATCTCGAAAATATATTTTGTGCAGGACATAAGTAAACACCGTACGGTACTTTATAATATATGGCTTTGTTGACTTATTACTTATAATATTGTATTTCATTTATCACGGATTGTGCGTAACTACTATACAAATTGCAAGGTGATTCACCAAGCGTAAGTGCATTATTTTTCATATAACTAGTATTTTTGAAAATTCCAAAAATCCGATTTTGAATAGCTGTATTATTTGAAAAAAAGGTAATGAGCATGTTTGGTGAATTATCTTTATACAATTAAAATAATAAAAAAAACATTCTTGCCATTTTTCTTTGTGCCTTATAGGTTGACTGAACATTCTATGTAATTAAGATGTAATGAGCCAGTGATCGCTGTGTCTAATACTGATCAGTGATCAAACACGAAGATTTGGGTTTCCGAAATCTGTGAAAAGTGCGGGTTGTAGACAAACAAAATATTAACACCCAATAACACGCACTTATGCATAAAAAAAATATACTGTGATGGAATATTGGACATTCACGAAGCAGGTGATAACTGCTTTACTGTATTATATACCACTACTCGGTGATATATCGTATAATATTATTTGTTTGTGTCCATCATTTACGTACCTATACTTTATAGTTAATAACATACTATTTATTATTGGATATTTACTTTTATTAAAAGGGAATCAGACCCAGACTTAACAGTTATGTCGGATAAACAAAAATTATATAATGTGAAAAAAGTTTTGCAGAATCGTAGTTATACTCATTTGACTGTAAATTGTTACAATCCCATCCGATCCGTAAACATGAGCCAACAAACAGGCAATATATAGGTTACATATTAAAATTAAAAGACTTCGTAAAATGTAAGGAATTACATCTGCACTTTTACATTGTCATCTTATTGAATTATTGCGGAGGTCAATTACTTTAATGATACTTCATTGAAGTTTTTTAACAGATACTAAAAATGTTTATTGTACTCAAATATTTGTAGTATATTAATGAATTATTTTTAATTTTCAATCGTTTGACAAAACTTCAAAGTGAATACTTAATAAATATCATAAAAATAATAGTGATTAAGTATTAAATATACCAATATGGCTATAATGTGATACAATAAAATAAAAATAATATCTATATTTCCATAATATTCACATTTGTACGCAGATCACTTTTTACACGAACGCCTATAATATCGTACATCATATTGGTATATAAAAAGTAAAAACCGCTGTAATCATCGATGCATCGAACTCACCGAAAGCTATGCGCAACGCGGCCAGACACTCTCCGTCTTCGGGCTCGAACATGTACGACACCAGCCGTTGCCAGACGGTCGTGGCCTCGCGCCGAACGTTTTTCCGCGAACATTTCTCGGCGACCTTTTCCGCGTCCGCGTCCATCGCTCGGAAGTGTGTGAATGGACGGGCCGGGCACCGCGTCTGCACAGCGATCGATCGAAATAATTATTAATACGTTTTCCGTCTCAGCAAATAATTTACTTGTCGATCGGAGACGTTTGACGGTTATTCGCCGTGACGTCTGTACCGAACATAATAATTATTCGCATTATATAGTGTGTGTTTTAATTGAAGACCATCTCGTCCGCATCGACTTACGTACGAGCGACTCGATATCGTATTAATCGTATTTATGTAGTTACATGGCGATAGTAATAATAGTATAGTAATAATAATAATAATAATAATGCGATTATGAGATGACGGTGACGATAATATTATAATATTATGTCACACGTCACACGTCACACGTCACACGTCACACGTCACTTTCGGTTTAACCCGATGTGAAACGGAAATTAGTATGTTTCCAATAAACACGAAATTGTTCAACAATTTTGTAATTAATAGGTAAATTTAATGTGTTTAACACTAAACAATTATAGCTATCAGCTAGTAACTTTATTAACCGATAGTGGCGATAAAGTTACATGGACTTTATTTTTTCTCGATTTTACTTAGTGTTCAGTAAGTTGTCTGCCAACCTGTCGTTTGTACTTGTTCGTGATTTAATTACGTATACGTCTTGAGTTGTTTATTCTTCGAGACCAGTGTTTTTTTTTATAATGTCAAAAAAACGATCTTTGAAGTTCTTAAATGTTGGTGACAAATTAAAAATTATAAAAGGAGTCGAAAAAATGGCGAAAAGAAAAAATATATTGCGGCAGATTTAAATATTCAAGCTAACACTTTGTCATAAATTTTGAAAAATAAAGATAAAATTATTAATAATAATAAAGATGTTTACCACGGAGAAAGAAATTAAAAATTTTATATTCATGAAGTTTGAATATACGTTCAACAGACAGGAGTTTCTAACAACATTTTTTCTGCACTTAATATTTTAGGTACTTTTATTGAAAATACTTCTAATACTAAACAAATATGATAGATGTTCTACTTTCATAGAAAATAATATATATATTATTCAAATGACGAATGCTAATAATATGCATACACAATATAAATACATTCTTTATTATAAATATGAGTAAATGTTTAAAAAATCACTATTCATACGTTACATAATATACATCAGACATTATACATGCAATTATATATGGAACGCTTAAAACTATATGGACACATATGGAATTTTCTTAAACTTTAAGCGACAAGCACTGTTATTATGCCATACGTTTACATCTCTCTTAGTATATTCAGATACGTCTACCATTGCAATTTCGTTGTTTAAAATTAAAAGCCACCGAATGACGCAGTATTATATATGTAATATTATTTGACGTTTTAGAAATACCTTTTCTATGAACACGAATCTGGCTTGACAATGACTTTTAACGATGTTGAGTGGGAAAATGTAATTTTCCGTCACTTCTACTAGCAACGAAAATGATTTAACTTTCAGGGTAGGTGTGATCCAGGGTGGGTTTTACCACCTTACCCATTTAACCTTATTAAGGGATGGGAGAGAAATTCAGATTCAAAAATTGGGTGGAGTGTATTTTGTATTGAAAGTTACCAACGTTTTTTCACAGAATACATTTTTTCAGATTTAAAAGTATTTAAAAATATATAATAAAAATATTTCAAGAAATAACTCATAAATAAATATTATTTTATAGGCACCTACTAATTGTTTGTAATAACAATAATAACGGCACATTATGTACTTGATCACATAGTAAATGAATAAGCACATAAATGAAAAATGAAAATGTTTAATTCGCTTTTACTGTTTTATAGTCATAAATAAATCATATAATAGACTTCATAATCGTGTATAGTACGTAATGAACATATTATATTGTGACATTGGTTTTGATTATTTAATTATTGCTATTTTAAGTTTATATTAACACTTATCAGACGGAATGATTTTTTTCATATTCCAATGGATAGCTGCATCGATTATGTTGGTGCTTTGTAGAAAATCTACAGCGACTATATTGAAGTTTCCTCCCCACTCTGGCGTTGCAAACCACTTGAACAGTAATTTATTAACCATCGAACTCATGTGTCGTAAACCATCACCTCTATTGAAAATAACGTCCAACGGAGTAGGAGTTAACTCAGCCATCAGAGCCGTTACACCAGTTTTGTTTTGTGTTCTGCTCAAATGAAACCAATATTAATAACATTTCGTTTAAGTGCAAAATTCTCAATGGTGGCAGTGTTAAAAAAACTATATGTTTTGATAATTATTTTTATTTTGCGGCACGCACTCTATTGAAATTATTTTACTATACGTTGTTCAAATTCAAATAATCCTAGAGCGTAGTATAGATAATACAATATATTCTATATATGTACATACCTATTTTATATAGTTCTGTCTTTGTGTGATTTATTATAATTTATAATATTGTTAGAATATTTAAATCCGACTATTTACTATGGATTGTTTAGTAGTAATTAAAATTGTTTTGTAAATTTGAAAGTATCTTGTAATTTAAATATCGATTTGTTATCAGTAAAGTATTGCAATGTTTATAAACTTAAAAATTCTTAAAAAATGCATATAAATATGCCCAAAATACATTAAACCAGACCTCTAAAAAATTATCAAATATTAAATTATAGAATGCTCTATAACAGTATTCATTCCATTTGAAATACAGAATACATTATTATTATTCATTATTATAGTATAGGTTTCATATTCGCGTGTTTGCGCAAAATCGAGTATGTATACAGCATGATTATGCTACGATTGTGAATGAGCACGTGCTCACTAAAATCTAACATTTTAGAAAATTTCCCTACAGTGTATAAAATGTACAAAAGTGTACTCATAACACTTTTACAGTACGTTTTGCGGATGCCCATAAAAAAATTAATCTAATTACATTGTATACCCCTGAGGATAAATGGCCACTAGGTTCGTGACGGTCGAGAACCAGTTGTTATGTCGAGAACTTTTTTTATTTGGAAACTACAGGCATTTAAAATAAATATATTTATAGTTACCATGAGTGCCTAAAATACAAAAATAAAATATATTCATCAGACTTGCATATAATACCATGAGAATTTATAATTTGATCTGCAATGGGCACGACAAAAAGAAGAAAAACGCTCAAAAGTTATATACGACCTAACCTTAGTTGTCCGTGGTATTTGTAGCACATAATGTCATTGTCATATAATCTGATAATTTATAATATTTTATTGTAAAAAATATGTTTCGCTATTGAATTAACCTTACTCATTTATATGTAAACGTACGTAGTCTTCAAATGTCGTTAATTTCTGAGCATTTGGCCAGTATCGGGGAACCGGTGTCCATAGGTTTTCATAATAATTATCGTAGTTTGCTGTCATCGGTAAATAGTTGTAAGTCACAATTACTCTGCGTCCTTGGGTCTGTAAATCTTTCAACGATTTATTCCATCCGATTTCAGCCATATGTTCACCCAGGTAGAACGTCACGAATTCATATAATTCAAGGTGCACCGATGGATTTTTCGAAAAACCCGTTTGGAATTTGTGAAATTCGACGATAACGATTTCGTTTGTTGCTTCTACAAATGTTTGTATGTCTCTGAGGATGTGGGACAAAGGTCTGACCGGATAAACTTCGTGATGTAGCCACCATAAATGTTCAGACTGATTATCAAAACCGACTCTCAGATCCAAGTATCGGGCTCCGTGACACAGTTGACTCAAAACGTCAAGGTCCTAATGAATTTTAAAATCATTGACAGCAGTAGTTAATAATACTTGAGAGAGACAAACCAATGTTCTTACTTACTTGGGTATAGACATACTTTTCAAAATAAATTGGTAGTTTTTGAGCAGTATCGTATGCCCCAGAGTCATGTGTACCTGGCAAAAATAATGAATCCAACCCTAAAGATTTGATCTTGTCTGGCAATTCGTCCATCCAATTAGGTTGTGACTTAAGACAGTTTGTCGCTAATGCTACAAATGAAAAACATAAAACCAGTAATTGAAGTGAATGTCACAAACAGCCCGAAAAGCTTATAATATTGTACATAGTCATAATGTTAGTGCAGTGAATACCTTTTTTTGAAATCATTTTGGCAGTCATTTTTCTTATAACCCAACTTGGAACATATTTAAACAGTCAAAAAAGGGAGAAATTTTGAGTGTGAGGTAAATAATAATTTTTAAAATTGACGTAATATCAGCTTATAATATTCATCATATACCGACCGTGAATAAAATCAATCCTATTAATTTAATATATATGTATTTTGTTTATAGGTTCTGATTTGTGGTTAAAGTAAAATATAAACAGGTAGTGTATAATAATATAAAAATATAAAATATACTAGAATTTAGATTCATACGTTCATTAGTGATCAATTCGTCATTAAACTCTGTAATCCTTATTCGTAAATAATATTATAGGCGGTCTGTATAGTGCAATGCTGATGTAAAATCAGTATAGTTAATATTAATTATTTTGATACTATTCGATATTAAATAATATATATCAAACCTACTAGCTATGTATAACCCGACTTCATCCGGGAAAAAAATGAACAAATATAAAATATGGCACTATATAAATGTCTCCCTAAATACAATTTCTGGTTACGGCACTAGGATAACAATTTTTTAAACCAAATTGTTAGATCAGCAGTCCCCGCTAAACGGCTCTTTAACAAATTTTGTACAGCCTGCACAAAAACTGAATTGTGCATTCTATAAAATCCATCATTCTACACTTTTAAAGAGTAAACATAATATTTATATAAAATTCAATTTTTTTAACTTTAATATATTTTAATTGTTATCATTCAAAATGTAACTATATTAATTAGGAATTTTTACACCAGATTCAAAACAAAATACACTCAACTCCCTTTTTTTAGGTTAATATTATGCGCAAATTCAAATTGATTCACTGCATACAGCTCGTGGGTAATTTTCAAAACTAATATTTGGCCTTTTCCAAAAACTTAGTTGGGTCCGCTGAATTAGATTTAAAAGAACGCCTTTTGCGCATGCTCACGTGTGTCGCCACTGACGTATGCCACCCAATACAGGAAACACTGGCTTTTGAACTGACCATCGTGGCAAAAGAGCTGTATGGTTTTCGTGCTCACCGTTAGGTCGGTTTCCAGATAACCAAAAGTGGCGTTCACTGGATAATTACGGAGCGCCATGTTGGCGGTGACATGAGGATGGCCTTGCTCTGGGTACGCGCTGAACACTCCAACCCAGTCGTTTGGATTTGTGGACAGCACTTGCCATGATACTGCCACTCGTTTGCCACCGTTTTCTTCTAAGTCTGGAGTAACCGTTAAACTCACGTAGTTATTTTCGAATTCGAAATTTGGTGATTCTGAAAAATCCATCAACTACCGTAGGTTATAACCTACATTCGGAAGTGATAACACACTAAAAAAGTTACTGTTTAGCCATTTACTATTATGCACTTAAAAAATAATATAGATATGTGCTATATACCACTAAACCACTAAAGCGTCTGAAAATGAGCAAAATAAAATGTTAAAAAAAATATTTTAATCGATCTTATATATTTTATTCTTTATCGTAATATTTATGTACAGTGGTATAATGGTATACTGTAATATTATACGGTAGATATATGGTAGATATGGAGTGATCACTGTACTAATATTAGGTACTGGGGACTGTTCCTTTTCTGTCAACATATAAATATAAAACCATTTATGTATTTTTGTATAAAAGTTGCTCAACATAATAGTTAGGACTGCACGAATTTAAAAAATACCAAATCTTCACGATTTAAATCTTTATGATAATACAACTATGTATTTGAATACATTTCTCCAATAGAAAAAATAATAATACACTTTAATATACGAGCGTTTTTGATACATACTCTTGTTAAAACTCATAGACTTTACTATATTTTTAATACATTTATTTCGTGTGGCTTAATGTAAGAGAATATGAAATACAGGACAAACGACTGCACGGCAGCCATGTACCTAAATTGCCTACCCAAAACGCCGTGTGACCATAGATTTATTATTGAAACTTTAAACGTTTATAATGAACACAGGATGAATAAACAGAGAAAGGTCGCGTCACAAGAGTGAAATGGCGTTTTTGGGGGACGAGATTAGGTACATGTTTGCTAAATATAATATCATATAACTAATTGTCTTTTTTTAACGAAAATGTATTGTTATGTTGTAAAATGGTCTTCAATATATTATGTCAAATGATAAAGATAAAATATTTTGCGAACAGTAACCGGTTTTTGTACACTCTTTACACTTGTAAGTATATTTTATCAAAGTTGATTTAGTAGTGGCTACTTAAAGTTTACACGTAGAGCCGTTAAAAAAACTTAAGTAGTATACACGTTTTTAAATTTGTTTTGTACTACTTGTGTATCTCAACGTTGATCTATTGACGCTATTTAATCTAGTGTTCCCACTAACCAATTTATAGTTTTAGTTAAGCCACTGAAAGCTTTAATTAATTGTGCGTGAATAGATTTTCAAGCAAGTGAATCGAGAGTTTTGTTGCGGAAGTCCACACATAAATCGAAGTTTATAACACAATATGTGAATGCAGGCGCATAGTCTGGATTTTCCATTGTGAAGCGGGGGGTGGGGGTGTTTTAAATTAAAATCCCAATATGACTCAGGGCTTTGGTTCACGCATGCCACTTTGAAGTCATGAATCTACATGATGATAATATTATGATAATATTATCAAATATGAAATAGAACCATATGCAGCATATTTTTTATATCATATCTGAAGCACTTGGTAAGTATATCAAGTAACTATACCTTTCTTTTTCGGTTTTGCATTTATGTGTGTGGCTGACCAAAATAGCCTCTCAGTTACGGCACTGACACTGTACGGGTAGATGTATACCATAAAATACGTACTTCATATTTTAAACATAAAGGATGTTATGACGAATAACGAAGTCACATATTATGCTAATATTCTAAAAGTTTGCTCGCCGCGCCGGCCTTTGAGATCGCAAGACAGATATTGTATTATTATGTAACATACATTTCTGTTGCCACTTATTAGCGCAATACGTTATTATAACCTGTACTAAAATAATGACGACGATGGCGGTAATATTATTATATATTTTGTAACTCACGCACGTCATCGCCGCATGGACACCGCTGTGAGGCTGAGCACGAACACACGCGATAGTCGCGCTCGGGGCAGCTTTCGAAAATATATAGTAAATGAACCACTAACTGCGTAGGCACGTTGTTAAGTGTTACCGCGATGATCGTGGCAAGGTGAGCAGCCCTACAACGAGCAGTGCTTTGACCGTGTCGTATCGATGATTTACCGTTGTAATAATGATATTCCGATCGAAATTAAATTATATTACAGTAGCTGATATCGGTCATAACGACCATAAAGGGGTCGTTTAAAATGAGTCGTTAAAGACGAATAGCGATAAACATTTCAAAAACGGTTTAATTAAATTACATACAATTTTCTAAATTATAAACGTGTAGGTATATAGCATATATTGCTATATATACAATATGGGTTTATATTTTTAAAAGGCACAAACAAACTGTGGAAAAAAATATAATACGTTGTTATTGTTTCTGTTATTAATTATTACCTACCGATGTTATATTTGAATTCTTACAAACTGTTCTGTAATTGCACGTCATTATTACACTATCGCATATAGTAATAACCATTTAAATTGGTAGCCTAATAATGTAAGTAAAATTCTAAGGGACGTTAGTCTCCAAACTGTTATTACCAATTCGTCATTATAAACGATGAAGTTATAGAATAAAGGCGATATCTACTGTGTATTATAATCGTATCGGACGAATTTGAAAAAAAGCACTATCCAGTATGCGCATGAAAATTCACTGCAATTGGAAATATATAATAATAATATGCCATTGTTAATATACTCGTATCAATTAATAGTTTACTTTTAAAATATTATTCTTAATTCGCCTTAGAGGCAGCTTTCGAAATATAGTGCACGAACCACTTACCACTACCACATAGGCGCGTCAGTGTTACCGATGACCGCGGCTAGATGAGGTGCACTAGAGCGCGCGTGCACAATGCTTTGACCGCGTGTTGTACCAATATTATAACGAAAATCAAAAACACTTTGGCCGGATTTGTTGTTTTCCATAGCGTTTTAAGTATGAAAACGTTCTATAATCGTGGGTATATAGTAATATAATAATATGATGTAGTTTCTATATCAATTAATAGGCTTTCTTAAGTCATTATTTTTGACTCGCCTTAGGTAACGGGTCTATAATTTTACATTCAAATCGAAGGTCATAATAATAACTATATTATACAGTCTTGTGGAATAATATCACGGACAAGCGTCTTAATAATTTATTACTAGTTTATTTTGAAATTATATTTGTTTTAATCTATTTTATGGATTCTTAAAGCATAATCACAGAATCATATCAATAACGACTGCTTTAAATAAATATTATAAAATAATAACAATTCGATGTTATTTAAATATACTTATGATGTCATAGTCGAGTGTCTATAACTTGAATCACAAGAAGAATAAAAAAAAAATTTTCAAGTTAGCTGATGGTTTAAAAACTTTATGGTACAAGCAAAAAATTCAACTTATCGAGATTTTACTGTATTTAAAAATAATATTAGCTTCTATCGGTATTTATCTGTTATCTAGACGTTAAGATTAAAGCTCATAATTCACAATATTGAAATATTATATACTCAGACTAAAATTTAAGATTAAAAAAAAAATGACTTAATTCATTTTTAAATAGATTTAACTTTTTCAACTGGCATTATTTTGAAAATGTAGTACTTCGTTACCTCAATTAAAATTGTCGCTTACTATTATGCACGTTATAACTTATATTTTAGCTTTTTAAGAACGCACAACAATGTTCTTAAGTATAATTACCTAAATATTGTTATATAATTTACTAATCACTATTAATAATTATTACTGCAGGTTTGTGTAAGTATTTACTTTTACATACTTTGTACATTGGGCGTCTGGCTGATTGTTACCAAATAAATAAATATTTTAGTGCATTAGAGCTTAATATAAATAATTATAAATAATAACAATAATAAAGTATGCTGGTAAATTCAGGTACGTGGATTAAGTACTTTTTACTATACAGTCTTGAATATTCATAGTACCTACTTCTACTTTAACCACCTGCTACCTCATTCGGTTGTAAAAGTGCATATGAGACCATATTCGACCGAAGGCGTGTTCGGATGAACCAAAAAGTTTAATATTTACTTTACTTTATACATATAGGTATAGAAGAGTATAAAAATATAAACTGTACAATGTACATAAATTTGATAGTTTAAAAATTAAAATACACATCTATGTATTATAATTGCTGTTGTTAATTATTTGATCGGTGGTCGTCGAGTTTAATTGTGATTACATTACGGAAACTTCCTTAATATTAGGGTATAATATACAGAACATGGCAACTTAGTAATAATGTTAATATACATTATTATATTTTTAATACTTTTCTATATGTACTGCTCATGGCAAATATTAACTTTTTTCAATTTGGCCCAAAAGGGAACTGTACAGTTTTAGTGGAAAACGGTAACGTCCAACGCATATACGTTTTCCGAGCATGTCATCCACCCTTAGGTATGAGAAAGCAATTTATGATTGTAAATTGTAATACATTTTGCACATAATTTCAGTAAACAGTTGTATATGGCCATCAGTTTTTACTATTTTAAATAAAATAACTTATAATATATAATATTTTACGTACGTCATAATTATAACTACAGATTAAACAGGTAGAAGGTACACTAAACAGGAGGTCATGTAGTTTGATTAAAGATTTCAAACAAAAATAAACAAATGAATGCCATTAGTATCACCATGCAATGTATTATACATATTATATGATATGAATACTTAAAATAATTGGTTTTTCAAACCTGAGTCTAGAAGTTCAATATTTATGGCAAATTATCTAAAGTAGTTATTACTTATTATGATTATTGTTTTGTTTTCGTGATGAGTAGGCCTCGTGTACTCATTTTTAAGAATGTTTGGATTTAACTTAGCCGTTTTTAAAATTGTGCATGCCTAGTCTGTAAAATATAATGTACTCTCAGATGTCAATAAATAATATTGATCGATTTTGGTTGATTAATATTTTGAAGTTTTTTTTTAAAATATTTATACCTTTGGCACTTATATATTGTAATCGAAATTTCTAGTAGGTATTTATATTATCAGTTTTAAGTACCTAATGAATTCAATTTTCTTTTTCAAGCTCATTGTTATAACTCTCGCTCATTGTAATGAAATGTTTTGAACACAACATCTCTACTCACCGTAACGTAAGTAGGTAGGTACTGTTGTACGACATGTTGTTTACCTCAAAACGTATACACACGCCTCATCGGTCAATTTATTAATAGGCCGAAAACCATAATCACTCGGACGAATTCGAACCGATGTTTTTTTCGACCACCGGGTCGACGGCAATCGATTGTCGGATATAATGCCAGCCGCGGGGATGAGGTCGAGATGCCAGAGAGCGTCGTGGAGGAGGGTCGAGAACACAAAATGTTAAATAGACGACGTACACACACATATATGTATGTATTTATTATTTTTTATCTTCTCATTCTTCTCCGTCTGCTCCTCGTCCACGTTTAATCCACCGCCGCCGACCGACATGATCCGGCGAATTATAACCTCTTATTTATTAGTGTATATATATATATATATATATGTATATGTATAATAGTTTTATTTAATATAATAAGCTCATTTTATTCCACGCCATGTCTCGCCGTCGCTGCAGACGACTAGAAAAAATATTTCGTTCGCCTGTGCGTGGTGAACCCGCGACGGATAATAATAATAATAATAATGATAATAATAAAAATATTCACACAAGCCGCCTCATTGTCGTCCGACCGTATTCTTCTGGGCGTGCCGAGAACATCGTATAACTAATATTATATTATAATATTTATATATATACTTAGACGACACATTTGAAATCAGTGTTGTTGTCAACGAAAGCGCTGCATGTAAATCCATGTAGGTACGCGTATAACACATATTTTATAGTAATATAATATAATGGCGAAATAAACACTTATTCTGTGATCGTTCACGTAGATATAAAATGGACTATGAGGTTTTTAAGTCTTATACTTTCCATCGATTATATATTCATTACAATTGTTTAGTTCAGCAATCGTGCTGATCCCTTTTCTTCTTAAATTCTATGCAGTTATTCAAAATCTGCTTTTGGAATTATTAATATACCTATAGAGACCATATTTTCAAATGATTTAGATTTTTGTACTACTTATTTTGTGAAGATACAAACTTCTGGTTTAAATAAGACACTCTATTTTTTACTGTGAATTAATTAGTGAATCATTTTTCTGAACATTTTGACGTATAAAAATCAAAACTCGAACTAGTATTTTTTGAGTTTTTTTTTAACGTTGAGTACCTACTAAGAATAACGAGTGTGGAAGATCTAGAGACTATGTAAAGGTAGAACAATAATTAATACCATATCCGATATTATATATACTTAATATTTTTGTAAGTTAATTTTAAGGACTATAATATTATCCTTAATATAAACACTTTGGTAACTTAGAAACTAGTCATTTGAATTTTGAATTAGATACCTCAAAATATTCAAAACAATATTCCACAGTAAAAAAGGAGGGTTCTTGTTTGAAAAACAGAAGTTTGTATCACCACATCTAGGACACTCTTTATATGGTAAAAAAATTGCAAGAGTTTGAAAATATGGTCTTGAGTATCTATATATTTTAAAATTCCAAAATCGGAATTTGAAAAAAATCATTATTAAAATAAAAAATGGGGCTGAGAATGCTTGGTAAATTACCCTGTACATTTTATTATGTATAACTCACATCACTTATAGGATTATTATATAATTTAGTCTAATCAAGTTTTAACCGTTAAGTGTATAAGTACCTAATAAGAAATCCATATTTTCACTTACCTCGTCCGTCGATCGCCGTTTCCTGCAGTACCAGCCAAACTAAAATCCACCAAAATCCACGGTCGTTCATCGTGTCCTGTCACTATACGTATATTATAATACTCGTACGATATAATATTACCTATGTGGTATACTATAATGGATAGGGATTTGTAAAATATTAAGACATATTGGCTCTTATGATATTATGTGGCTGAAGCGTACAAAAAATTGTAACTGACTTTGGTGCACATGAATAATGTATACTTGACGTATAACGCACACATTGTTGTAATATATGCAATTAATGTGAGGAGGAATAATAACATGACACGGGTATGGAAGGGAAAAGAAAACGGTGTTTTTGACATACGGTGTTCCAATACAATATTTTAGTTATCTTTCAAAGCAATTTTACCATAATATTTTTTTTTGTGTTTTATACATAAATTATTGGATAAAAATTAACAACTACAATTATTTTATCTTATTATTGCTACAAGGAACCAAAATTATGTATATATTATTTATAATATATATATAATTTTTTTAACCCATTGAAACGCATAATATTTTTGGTAATATCGTTATAAGCATATCTAATTTTATCGAATAAATAGTAGTTATAACATTAAGTAAATGGACGGTCATTATTTTTGGTTAAACAAAAAATAAATAATAAATAAATAAATAAAACATAAAAAAAATATACACACGATTAAGTGTTACTTATATAAAATAAAAGTAATACATATGGAACATAACAAACATCACAACCTTTAGCCTTAATGAAAATCAATCACATAAATATAATAATAATATATACAAATATAATATATACGTCGCACCCAGTTTGTAAAATCTCTTTTTTTTAATGAAGTGGGCTTATTTTTCGTACCCATATACATACCGTTAATTATACATTTTTTACACGACACGGATGATCAATAATACTGTGAAGACGTATCTTTTATTTTTGTACAGTAGTAGCTTGTGGATACATTTTCACGAGATTGATAGTTTTTTTTTCAAAACCGTGAAACATATTTTCAAGACAAAGCCTATCTATAACTATTCTACAGTATATACTATATACCCACTATACAAGTTAGAACTGTATATAATTAATTAATAACACACGATTATTCGTAGGTAGTAAATTAAGTTATTCATAGATATTGTATTTATTCAAACCGTTGTAATACATAATAATAATATGATGATAATATTGCGTGACTATATGATATCGCACAATATTCTTAAATCACAAGTTTAGTGTAGAAAATTAATATCCGTTTCTCGAAGTGTACAAAAATAGTCATCCATGACACGTAAAAAATGTTTTATTCACGATATGGATACTTTTCACTAAATGGGTGCGACATGTATACATAATATGTAAACAAAACAAATAAAATTACTTAGAATTTAAAAGTTAACAAGTCTAAATAGCCCTTATATTATTATAAAGTTAAAAATGTATTTACTCTATCGTATAATTTCATAAATTAGCTATATCACTATGAGAACTAATATGCAGCTATATTATATATATTGTATATTAGAGTTATATTATAGCGATGAAAAACATGGGTAGCAATAAAGTTGGGTTGCACATTAATGTATTATTATATACTATATTTATGTATAGTAATAATATACACACGGGTATCTAACGTAAAGCTTCGTTTCGTATAAAACATTTTATTATGTATGAATGTATAAAAAAAATTGTCGAGAAAAAAAAGTTTAGAGAATTATATATTGTATTCATCTATCCGTGTTTGTTGTAGAATGTGCTCGGGTTAGTGCCGCTGTCCAATGTTCAGTTACATCTGTCAGTCAAATGAAGAACAAAAACAAAAAAAAATAAAATAAATAAACGTCGGAATCTGAGTGCAAAAAAAACTTGTACATTACGTACACATAAAAGACAATAAATCTTTTGTTTTTTTCCTTCTTTTTTTTAGTAAGACGAAATTTTGCAGTTTGAAATAGAATTTCATTTATAATGAAGTTTCGGTGTTTGGGTTTCTCGGAATCCCAGACGACAACAATATTTTTTTTTCAGAAATTTTTTTCGTACCCACAATATTATGCGTTTTTCGTATTTTAATCATCAAAAATATCAATATACAATATGCAATATCTAATAATAATATATGTATACTGAACTCTCCTATAAGTTATAAGTTATAACTAATCAAAATATTATTGAAATCTCAACCGGAGAATGTTTTCTTATCCTCTATCGTATTTTTCTCATTTACAAGGACAATTTATAGTATTGTATGGGCACTGCAGTCGTAATGAAGCTAGATTATTCGAAACACGGTGTCTGATGAAGGTTTTCATGTTGAAATCATGTTTTCAAAGGACTTAAAAAAATATTGTATCACAGCGCACATTGCGAAATAGGTTATACGTATATAATCGATAAAAACATAGGGCATATTTATGGGCCCAGTTATAACTATAATTAACTTTTTAACCAAAAATATGCATTTATCAATATTAACGGGGCTATATTTTTAAATTCAGTTATCATATAATACGTATATTCACAAAACTTTAAATCGCAAAAAGTTTTTTTTTTAATATTTTCATTGCCCTATTATGTGCCCATTTTGTTTAACAAAATAAATTTTGTTTATCTTTTATCGTTCTTTTTAGTAGTTGTTTTAAATAAACCGCGAAAGATCGCAAAAATAAAATGCCGAAGAAATATTTTAATATTTTACAAGGAAGTATAGGTACTCACGGACAGTTACGGTGTAACAAGACCTTTGCTGAGAATATTAATAGTTGCTATAATATAATAAAGAAAACCACCCAGCATAAATCATAAGTACCGACCTATAATTTAAAAAATATATATTGCCTGTATTGAAATTATCTATTTATTTTTTTTAAATACTTTTGCAATATTATTGGTTTCTGTTACAGAGTCTTAGGAAAATGAATCCGTTTGTTGCAGGGAATCGTCTGGTCGTTTTTGTCTTATGTAAATTAAAGAATTTTTGTTTGCTCATGGATTATAATTAACTGATCCTAAACATATTTTTAATACTGCAGGTAAATGTTTGTTGGATAATTTCGGTTGTAAAATGTCATGGCCAAGACCACGTAACCGCGATTTACTTACCGATATAACAGCATAATTATTGTGTCGACGCGTCACTAGCCGAAATTATTTGTGTCATTTCCAATGGTGTTTTGTTTCTTATTTTGTTTTGAATCTGCAAACAAAAATCCACACCCCCACCGTGTACTGTATACGATCAAACTGCAAAAAACATTAAACAATAATGATCGGTATAATGTCTATTTATAACAAATAAACAATACATCGATAGTATAATGTACCAAGTACATAATGCGCTGTTAATCATATATTATTATGAGGTTCCTCTTTAGCTTAAGTGGTCATTTGTGGACAATTTCGACTTTCAAATAACAATTATAAAACACTGTTAAATACTTGAATGCAATCGTAAGTATTTGATTTATAACGAATAAGTATAACCACCCGGAGGCAGGAAAATATATTTAATAAAATACTCAACATTTGAATTATTTTGTTCTCAAAAGTAATAGATGATAAAAAATTAATTTAGTCTATTAGGTACAAAGAAAAATACTTTTACTTTAAAGTAAATTATACTGATTCTGAGCCAAACTAGGATACTAATGAAAGCTTACAATATAATATTATATTTTAATGTAACTATAATCATATTAGGTTAGAGGTGTCCTCCATTAATGTAGAAGTATTTCAAACGTTTCATAATATCATACTATACTCCCATCTATATTAATGTTTGAAAATTTCAATCTTGACTATTGACATTTTTAAATCACCATTTAACATTTGATAGAATGACAGAATGTAAAAATAAATTCTTGACGATGGTATTATGTACGGCGACACTTAATTAAAATGTCAAATACCCATAATTAACTTATTGTCTTGAAAAAGTACAATCCCGTAATTTAGAAATTAACCATATAATTGTTTTACATGAAAATTTACATTGCTTTTCTCTATAAATGTGTAAAGCAAATTTTTATAATATTTATTTAACACATAACAATCGAAAATATTCACTCGTAATTACGAGAATTCAAATTTTGAAAAACTTAAGTGGCCAGGGCTTTACTCAGAATCATTTTCCAAATAAGTTGATTTATCATTGCTTTCAAATTCAAAATAATAATTATAGTGCGTTTTATAATATATTTTACTACACTCCCGTTAGGTGGGATGAGGCTATTATATTAGCGTATAATACACACTACACAGTCACAGTATGTCCATATTCTACATCGTTTAAAATTATAATGACAACAAATTGTTACGTATCAATAACTGAAGAGTGAAGGTGTATTATAACGCGGTTATCGATATTGTCAACAAATTTCAAAGCTAAGTTTTTGTTAGTTCGTGTTATTATAAAATCCCGTGTTAATAGAAGCGACTAATAATGTGAATCCTAATTTGCGTTAGTAAAAATATATAATTATGTTATTTAAAGCAAAGTAAGAATAATTGTTAATAATCGGTATTTGTTTTTAACTTCTGTTTTTTTTTGTTTTTTTTTTTTTTTTTTTAATAAAATCTTTACCTTTCGTTTGGGAGCGATTCAAATGACTCGTCCAGTTCATGTGTACAATGTACGTAACAATTGTTGGGATAAATAGTTTTTTACACATCATTCACCCGCCACTTCCGAAAGAGGGGTAAAAAGCGAAAATAAAACATAATGCAGCGGTTGATCGTTGGCTAAAAAAATTATATAAATTTGTTCCGTTCCTTGGTAACTGTATCGCAGTATAACTTGGCAAAGAATATAGGAAGCTTATACCACACAAATGTACCAAAAAAAAGAATTCGTAAAAAATAATAATAATATTAATCATAATAATAATAATAATAAATAATAATAATCAAGCGAAATAAAAAGACTGTTCACCGTTTTTTTTATCAGAATACTGTACAAGTCATTTTATTTACACAATAATGTATTATCAAAAATAAATAATTAATAAAGTATAAATAAATAAATTAAAAAATAATAATTATAATCCGCAAAATGATTCGTGAATTTGTTTCAATTTTACACGTAAGTAAAATTTATATAGGAGTTGTGACTAGATGTAAGTGATCCAAAATAATAATTATAATAATAATAATAATAATAATAATAATAAAAATAAATAATTTTTGATAAAAAAAAAAAAAAAATGATATATAATATACAAATGGTATATTATGTACATAAAAAAAATTACTTTGATTATAACACTTTTGGCCCAGAAAAAAAATTTACTAAATTTAAAAAAAAATCTTTGGTAAAAATTTTGAATAAATTTCGATAATTTAAAAAATAATAATATATATATATATTTATATATATAATATGTATATATTAAATTAAATTTGCATATATAATATAAACCTAACAATAATAGGATCCGGACAAGCCTAGTTTACAGAAATAAGTCAAAGACGGGGCATACATACTGCTTTTGTTAACAATGTCTTTGTTCTCACACCGTTGACCCTTGAAGCCTTCGGCGCACCTGAAATTTGAAAAGCGATGATTTTATTTCAGTTTAAGACTTGCTTTTTTAAAGTCCAACGAAATCGTTAAAATTACTTATAGCATTACAATATTATCGTAAATCTATTTCAATGATACTACCTTACAATATTATTATGCTATACAACATATTTTATGTAGATATATTTTACAACGTAAATACAATATTATGTTTAATTTATTCTACTCACTGGCAAACAAGCTCTCCGATGGTTTCGTAGAACGTACAAGTGCCCCCGTTCAGACAATATACGAGATCTGCTGGACAGGGACCGCCGACCAACGGCCACAGGGCTGTCGCTGCAAAAACGAACGAAGTACATGGTAAATAACGCAATCATAAAATAAAAAACGGGAAAAACAATTGCATTGCATTGCTATGTGCAGCGAGGCAATTTTAAAATGTAAACATCTGCTGCTGCGTCGTACATAATAATATGCTTTTGAAAATAACGTTTTGGCAAAACGCACTTTTACCGTGACACACTTTTCAATGTTATAAAAATTGTCAACGAGTTAAAACGGATTTTTATTGCATCAAAACCGTCCCGATTATAGAATTAGATTTATGAAATTAAATTTGATGTTAACGTTTCCTAACCTAACCTAACCTTATATAACATTATTATTCAATGGAAAAAAACAATAGAATTTTGATTTAATTATTTGATTAACATTTTTCCGAGTAGTAGGAGCGAGTTCCAAAAGATCTGAGGAGTATATGCGATATAATTGTATACTTGATTAGTGCTATTATAGTACTCATATTTACAACTATCGATCAAAAATTAAATTTGGCTATTCAAAAAGTAATTTTCGACTTTTACTTTTCGTAAGATAAACCATTGAAGATGTACCCATTGAAAAAATTAAGAAATTCAAGTAATTGTAGTTCTAATAAACGATAGCTCAGCGAAGGACTGATTATAGACTCGGTATCTGATATTTAAAATAGTGGTTACATTTACATGAAAGTTTTGAAACACACGTTTTATCCGCAAAAGAGTTAACAGAAAAATATATTTGCACCACGAGTAAATAAACGCGTCGTTATAAGACAGTATACGCATCAGTCACTTTCATTTTTGCTTTTTTTTTTTACTCTTGGTATTTTATTTTATGTCGTTAGAAAATCATATAGAATTACTACGCCAAATGAGGGGATGTACCCCGCACATCAATTTGAGTTTATATTTTTACTATGTTCACTAATGACAATCATTAAGATTTATTGGGATGTAGAAAATATGGTCGTTTCAAAGATAAATGCAGTTTTTTATAGTTCACAAAAACAATTAATATTATATTATATACCGAGGTACACTAAATAAGTGAATCGACAATGTCACTTGTTTCATACTAGGCGAATAATGTATTTATACTCGCTATAGGTACTATAATATTGGAAGTATTAGAAGTGCATCCAGACTAAAGAACTGTTCCAATTCGCAAGTACTAGGAAACTCGCAATAACAAATAATGTATTATTAAGTGTTATTATTATAACGTGTGTAATAATCGGCACATGGGGTCAATAGCCATTGGGTCATAAGGATTATTTTTGCTTGTCGGGCAAAAAAAAAAAAATACAAATATTTTAAAATAATAAAAAAATCACTCAATAAAAAAAATATAAATAAGTACTATATACCTCCTTTATGGCTACTAAAATAACTATAATTTATGGTCTTCAATATGTGTAGTATGGACTATGAAGTATAAAGTGTTATTTATTCATTACCTACTTATCGCCTATAATCGTTGTCATTTATTCATTTTTGTAAATACTTGCTTTAATTTTTTTAACAACAACAACAACAACAACGATAACGACGACGACAATTCATGATGATTGCATATAGTTTAAAATAAATGGTACTTAATAAAATAATAATTGGTAGTTAATAGTAGTCCAAAATTCGTAACATAACATCTTATTACAGTACTTTTTGTACTTTCATTTTACATTTTTCCCTTTTTTATTTTTAACTTAATTTCGTATTAATAGTACTTATTTGGTCTACCAAGATACAAATTACATAAATTGTCTAAGTTGTGCTATATTGATTTAATTATAATTATATTTATATTATTATACTTTTCATACAATTATATTTGTTGAAAAATGTTTAAATTATTATTAATTATCATGCACAAATTGTAAGTTATTATTAATTTATTGATTTCTTTATCTCTAAAACGTTAATACATTTGAACGAAACAAAATATTATACACCCTCAATCCTTATATTAATTAACATAGATAATTAAGAATAACTCATTGATGCAAACTAAAGTTAAGTATTATAAACATATACATTATACAGTATTATAGTAACTACATTCATATTATTTAATATTATGAGCTCTTGTTGACATGGACGAATTATAAATATTATTTCTGAGTAAAATTAGTTTTAAATCATGGAAATTATTTAAGACTGAAAGATACCCTTTAAAACTAGCACATATGTTGTACATAAATTGTTTATTCACAAGGCTGAGTGCCTGAATTAAAACGAAATGTAGACAATATTTATTGGTTTGACGAAGGAATAATATTCTGTTTTTTGACAGCGGTCGATGAAACAATTACATCTTAAATACCAATAATAGCTTTCTCATTTATAAATGAACTATTGTTGTAAATTATAACACCGTCTGTGGAATTGCATTCACTAAAATATACCTATAGATTGTTCATAATTCATGTTAAAGCTGATGCAATGACAGTGTAACATATAAGTTTACATGGAATCTAAAATATGATTAGTTTGGTATTTAGATAAATGGGATAAATGGGATAATACATCGATATTATTATACTACATAAAGAATGATGATTTCTAAAAAACACTTAAAAAATATATATATTTGTAGGCTACAAGATTATTTTTGGAATTTATAAATAAATGTATGCTTTTTTTAATCATTACGTATGTGTATTTAATACGTGTAGCTATGAATAGAAGGAAAACAATTTAGAATCGTAACACGTGTTTCATCAAACTCAACCACTACACCTGTATAATAATAGGCACTACATATTGTGGCACACCGAAGAGGGTGGTTCCGGGCCCAGACCCCACACCATGCAGATTAGTACCTACTTTGTTGGGTAACACGATTTAAATTAAATTTTTTTTTTATTTTACAAACCTATAAGGTAATAAATAATTACTATAATGTTTTATCATCAATTATATATTAAGATATTAAAATGCATTAAATGGTAAAAAAAAAAATGAATGGAAATAATAATTATCTCTTGATTGGACCCACTACACAAAACATCCAGATCGCGTTACCGATGATCAATCACTATATTAGCACCACCACTATTACTGAAGTTGTAACAGCTATTGGTTAAAGTGGATGGAGAAAATGTAGGGAAAATTGCTGTTTTTAGTATCAGTGGTTTTACAATCAAGAACTTCTCCACTATCTTGTCTAAAATTGACTATTCGGCTCGCCCGAAAATCATATCGTGAAGATTTTTCTCACTAACAGACGCTCTAGCACGCTAGCTCGCTCTGCTCGATTTTGATGTGACTTTGAAACTAACAACGGGATCAACGACGATTTTTGAAAGTCTATTTATCGTACACATACGGGATTCGAGAAAGAGATTAAGTTGTTCGGGCACATAGTAATAGTAATAGTGATAATAACAAGTAACAACGATATTACACCGAGTTCGATCAACACTTCTCCCCTTCACCCAGTAACCTATGGCTAGCGGTCGTCGTCGTGTGCGTGCACAGAAAACCCATTGGTTTTGGGCGTTATTCGTGTTCGCCGGTCTGTAATTATAACGTCCGCGCTTTGCCCGCGTCGTTGTTTCGCGGCGATTTTAGTCGTTTCGAAAGTATCGCATTATCGCGACGTCTCCGGACGATATCGGGAACTGAAACAGCCAATAAGGTCTGTTATTAGAGCCAACTGCCGAACGAAATGTCGTCGTAATTGGACGTCTGTACGAGGTATAATGTATGTTATAATATTATGTTATTATAATAATATTTGCCGACGAAACAATCATAATATTATACTAACCCGAAAAAATGTCTAGTAATAATTTATATGGGAGTAGGTATTAAATGTTTTATTTCCATTAGAAAACCGGTTGTGAGGCTATAAGCACGTCATATAATATAATATGATTGATTATGGTCAGGTGATTTTATCTACAAACAAGAGGATGACTACTGAGGTCTTATTTATTTCCTATAATTTATTTACGACTCGTGCGTATATTTACGTATTTGGTATGATAATATTATTATGTAAACATTAATCAGATGATTTATTTCGACGCACAACACTCCGCCGGTGTATGTATCAAGTATAATATTTCCAAAGATATAAGCATTAATGAGTTAAAAAGTTTGTATTTGTTAAAAAATTGTATTACTTATAAAAGTTATAACTAGATAGTTAATTTTAAATTGTAATAAGTCAAATTAATTGTTGCAGTGCTTATGCAAATCTAGAACAATTGTAGATGAAAATATATTTTTTTTTATCACGCTGTAGACTATGATTTTAAACAGAAAAAGTCAACAAATAAATAAGTAGTCTGTAGACACAAACATATGACTTGCCTCTTAACAGCTGCTGTGTTATAAGAAACAGTTGGATACATTTATAAACAAAATTGTTGGTTATTTAAAAATTCTGAAAGTCGCATAATCACTGTAGTCTGTAGTATAACTTTATTTTGTGGTATAACTCGAGTGGTGATGAATAAAAACAATGTAAATAAAAACAAAATTATTTTAACTTGTTGAGTCAATATTTTATTCTTCATAATGACTTAGCACTTTTAGAGTAAAATATATTATTTGGTATCTTTTAATTAATGTTCTGAACGTTAAGTAAACTTAATTAACTCAATTTAATAATAGTGTACAGTTAATAATGTTAATTACAAATCATTTGAAATGAAGTGCAGTTTAAATAAAAAAAGAAATGCTCATAACATTGCCTACTCCACACATTTCACTAATAATTAGTATACTCATAGCTAAAGCTTGCGGCAGTACGATACTTTTTGTATTTTTAATAAATAAGGGAAGTTGCCCGTTAAATCGAGTATAACATACTCATATGATATCGGAAAACAATGCCGCTAAGCTTACGTCGCATGTACGATCGCACTCGATGATATTATTATTATTACGATCACGATGGAATAAATTCACGAAAATGTAATAATTATAATAATAATAATAATAATAATAATAACATCATAAATGCACACCGCACACACGGAGTATACTACAAGTCTACAACACTGTAGACCGGACCCGTGCGGTGGGGTGTGCGCCCGCGCGTTCTAAACGGTTCTAAAAACCGGGCGCCCGCCTCAGCCGCCGCCGCCGACTCTGCCCAGCACGCAAACAGCCCGAGGATAACCCAATTACCGTCGCACGCCGACCGCCGCCGCCTTTCTGATGGATTGTTTACATTATTGAATCTCGCCTGTATGTCTGCCGTCGCGCCGGGCCAACCGCCGCCGCCACCGCCGCCGCACTCACGCACACCCACACACGCACAGACGCGCGCGCGCGCTACACACAGACACGCACACGCACTCACGCAGTCCGTCTGCGGTCCGCTGCGCAACGCACCCCCCCGTGCCCGACCTTTTTTACGATATTCTTTTTTTTTTTTTTGATACGTTGACGCGTTCGTTTACATTTTTTTTCTTTCGTTTTTCGGTCCCGTCATCCGGACACGTTTTCTTTTAATTTCATTATGATTTTATGATATTTGTGTATATACACGGGTACGACTCTATTATACGGGCTGATTTCACTGAGCGCGTTCATCCCCTTTTTGCTCCTTAAAAATAGGCCGTTAAAAATCTAAATTTTCGATAAAGAAGATGAAGATTATCTTCAAGTTATTGATATGTTTTGTACGATAGCTACTTAAGCAGGACCTGTGCAAATAGAAACTTCTGTTCTTCAATAGAGACCACCATTTTTACACTGTATAATATATTATTACACATTATAAAACTGAATATAGGAGATAATTTTTTCTTTTTAATTGTATCCAAATAAAAATGTGTGATAATTTTATCACCTTTAAGTAAAACATTTCAAAAATAGAATTCGACTAAACTCATTATTAAAGAAAAAATACTAATGGTGCATAAATTGCCACTGAGCTGAATTTCCCTGTAGGTACATTATTATATTATTGTACCTTTTCAAGTACTTTAATACTTAAACGTCTTAAACTTTATTATTATGGCGAACGATGGTTTCGATTTTTGGTTGGATTTTTATTGGTTTCGACGGCTTGCCGGTTACCAACTCATTCCAGGGAAATATGTGACCATTTCCTGGCTCGGGTTCACACAGATTAAAGTTTTTGTTTTATATTTCTAACAAAAACTAATATTGGTAATTTAAGAGTATACGGTATATAATTAACATCGAATATAATAAAATCGCATCGGGTATTCCAATGCATAAAATTATACGAAATAATTTAGTATATTTTCATAAATTATAAATGTTTATTATAATGCTATGTTTGGTGATTGGGTAAGCCGAATCAAAATCGTTTACGATTAACATAATATAGTTTGGCCGACGACGCTGTACGTTGTGCGTACCTGCAGTGTGGCTATGTCGGCTATTATATTATATAGTACCGGTTGGACGGATTGTTCGATTGTAATTTTAACGAAATTCGGCGTATCTACACATAATATTATAATACCCACAGTCTGATATTATAATAACACCGGATCTATGAGAAACCGGCGTGAGTAACGAGTAACAACGACGTCGCGACGTCGACGACATTAATACAATTATTACGATGGAACAAATTGTTCAGGCTCGGTTCCGAGGCCGGTAAAGTAAAAAATATATGTTTAAACGACGTCGCCGCCGTGTGATCACACGAAGAATTCCCACACATAAATTTAATCATAAAGTTAATTAGTGGTTTGCAACCCTTTTCGAATGAGACGTTACAAATACTGCGTCCAATATTAACGGGTGAAGACGGCCGTCGGTCGCTATATTTATATATATATATATATTATGTACACATATATAGACCGGGTCGGATTCCGCTCGAGGGGATATAATAAGGACCCAATCGCATACTATTTATAACGACGGGTCTTAACGGGTCTCGATGGTCGGAGTTTAAACACGAAAACATTACTGCCGTGGATGCTGAAAAATCTGGAGATATCGTCGCGGCTTTAGGTATTACAATATAAATTATAAGCATATTATATTATCATCGTCCATATCGAATCAATTTCCGCTAGTTGATATTAATATTGCAGGGCGTTGGGACTGGGGTTGAATAGTATATTATATATTTATAAGCTATATTCGATACCGATATAAAGAAAATATAATAGCGACAACACAACAACACAAACACCCCAGAGTTATAATTTTGCTAAAGATTCTTAATTCCCACTGTTGTCTTTATCTACTCTGGCTACTCTACAGGAAATATATTTGTTTATTTCTTATCGATATTTGGTAAATTTATCGAGAAAATGATAAAAATGATAATAATAGTTCTTTAACCCCTAAGTTATGAAATACTTTTATATAATTAGTATCGAAATGTGAAATATAATACGATGTTTAAATGTTTTTACTTTTTAATAAAATATAAGAATTATTTCATGAAATTTAAAATTCAAACTGTAATATTATATTACAATATATTATGTCTCGTATAAAAGTCTTTAGTACGAAAATATTTAGTATTTTCAAAGTAATATCCAAATTTGGTATATATTTCTGCGCATGCTCAATATAATTTTACCAACTGACAGCTGTATACATTTGCAAGTGACCATTATGTTTATAGGTGACGTAAGTTTTCTTATTTCCTGTAATTAAATGAACCCATAGTGATATACTGATATATCTCCCAAAATGAGCAATATTTATCGGAAAACGTATTGGTACATAGTAGACAGGTAGTCAAAAAGTGTTTATCAATTCGATTATATCATTGTTTAATCAAAAACGCTATTAAAATTGACCGAAAAGACGAGTGGCTTTTAAACAAAACATCTCTATAATAATTTAATATACTGCTGGTCTATACAAACAACGTCGTAGGTATAATATGTTTATAATGCTATATAGGAGGTACACGTTATTACTTATTAGTATATCGGGAGTGGACCTGAGCACGTACGAGTTCACATTGATTGAAACACATCGAGCAGATGGTGTGTGTGTGCGTGTGTGTGCTCGCGCGCGCGAGAGAGAACGGCCACCGCGATCGGCGACCACACGTGATACGAGTCTGACCAGTGTGTGTGTGTGCGCCTCCCGTCGCCGCCTATCGACCTGCGCGGGGGGCCCCGCGGCACCGTCGGACACACACACTCACACACACACACACACACACACACACACAGTCACAATACTGAAGTAGTGTGGTGTTTATTTAACGTTTACACTATCATTTGAGACTTGTGGAAATTGGGTCGTTAGCGGTAGGAATTTGTTGTTGTTGATGTTTTTTTTTTTTTTTTTGACAATAACATTTTAATTTATCTTAAAACTATAATTGGGTAAAATAATTTTCTAGCAAAACGAGTAGCCCCGTTTTCATCCACTTAATGTACGTAGTGCACGCACGTATACCGTAATAGTACCGACTGAAAAATTTCTACGCAATTGTCTTGATAAGGATACGCGTATATTATTATTATGATTGTGTTATATTGCAAAAAAATGTATTTTAAATAGGACTGAAGAAAATCAATCATAATCACATATTTATACAATCGGTAAGTATTATTAACTATCCGCAATATTGTTGCTACAATAAGCCAATATATGGTTGTATATTTTGGGAATATATCAATATTGCAAAAGCCATGCAACGGGAATCAGAATATAAATTTACCTAGTATTCTGTTGTATGATATTAAAATAGCAGCACAGGGCGATTGATTGTACGAATAGTCCTATTTACTTGTCACTTTCAACGGAAAAAGCTCATCACAAGACATATGTTAATACTTCATTACTTCTAGGAAAGTTTAAAATACGCCGTAATAGGCTATTTTGTAATTCAATATTATTATTTTAACTCTTGATTTCGAACGATATAGAAATTCATTGTAAGTGATGAATTATAAATGTAAGTACTACATTTTGAATGGAATCGACTAACAACCGTGTCCGTATATATTAATAAAATAAAAATTGTTTTTTTCAAAAACGATCGATCATATTAAAATATTTATACATTTATATTTATTGTGTAAAATATGCACGTATTTACTCGTGATTGGCCTACTACATACATACTCCTCGAAGATTATGTTATTACTACTCTTATTTTTTACCCCTTAGCTGTTCATCGTCAATATGAAGAATGGACAAATGAATCATTTGTTTATGAAAGGTGACGAGTAACAATTTTTCAGAAAATGACTTTTTTTTCTTTTGAAAGAAGTCAAATTCTTATGATGGGTAGTTCATAATGTATGTGGAACTATTCAAACATCCAGTTAATGTGTATTGTATAGTAAATGTAATAAATAGTGCTAGTTGTTTTTTTTTTAATTTGCCGAAAGTTTTACTTTTTGGATTTAAATTTGGTCCTCTTTTATGAATAACTATTCAAATTAAATTAGGAAATTATAATTTCTTATTTATTTTATTAAATTTAAACTTCACCCTACCGGTTCCCCTTTTCTGTTGGTATGCATTTAATAAAAACTATCACGTTTTCATTATCGTTTATCAGACGTTTTTGTTTGTTTATTATAGTTGGGCTGTATAAATTATGTATATATATAGATACTTAATTAAGTGATTGTATTCACATCATTGAGATATTAATAACATATTTAGATTTTAGAGTGGCCATCGTAAATCGAATAAATATAAATTGATCAATCCATCGACTTTATTCATTTCAACGAGACGAATAAAACCATTATAGACGAAAAGAAAGAACACTTTGTTCTCGTCTTGATCTACGTAACAACGTTTAATTGTACAAAATACATGCATCATAGCAGGAAACTATGATAGCTACAATGTATTATTATAATTTATAAGCGTCCTGATCAATGTATATAATAGTATAATACTCACTGTTGTCCGGTTTGGAATTAACTATGACTTGGGCCGATGTAATAGCCACATGGCCGGTTTGGACTCCGGTACCTCTGCACTCATACTTGCCTGCGTCGTCTGGCCTCACCTTTGGTATCACAAGCATGGATCTTTTCCTGGAACATCACGATTTGGTTAAAACATTACACAATTGAAGAAAGAACGCAAGGATTTTCGCTCGGCGATATACTTACTTTTTGTATTGAATCCTTCGCCTGCCCACCAAAATCGGTACGCCGTCTTTGAACCATTGTAGAGCGGGCATAGGGTTGCCTTTTGCTCTGCACATCAACTTCAAAGCGCTTTTGACTTTTAACGTCGTGTTATGAAGTCCCCACACTCCGATTGGCTGAACTATAAACAGAACGCAATAAAATTAATTTGCTAATTTATTTTCTCTTTGTTTTTTGTTTATAAACTAGAGAGTCCAAACAACGACCATTACTATGATGAAATTATCGTTATTTTTAGTTTTCAAACATCTTTAAATTAAATTCCAATAACATTTGCATAATATAAGTTTTATCCTGACGGAAATGTATTTTTGTTCGCTACCATAATATATTATTATTATTATTATTATTATTATTATACAGCGTGTGGTGTGCATAATATCTGTGTGGGCTTAATATATAATAATGTATGTATATTATACTAATAAAACAACTTTACATAAAAATAAAATGCAAAATATTATGATATGCAATAATAAAAAAATGTTACGTGAAATATTAATGCAGTGATGACTTTTAAACCGCGTACGGTGTAGAATAACTAATATACAATATTTATATACATAAATACATTCATACATAAATAAATACATATAATATATATGGATGAAATACGTCGCCGCGACTTCAGAGATCACGCCAGGCCGCCTCTGCCATGCGCAAATACAAGAATCTTCAGAAATTCCTACGCGGATGACGTGCGACTCTTGTTCGATCACTTGTATATATTATGTACAATACATATATATGACGTAGGTATATCATATATATAATATAATATACTCGCGCAAAATACCTTCGATACCTTTTAAGGTACAGGTATTTGATATAAATATATATAATGTATAACATATTTGTACGATTGTACCTATAAAGTCCACAACTACCACGCAGACTATCTTGCGATCGGTGTAAAGGGTCGATGACGATTTGTTTTGCGATTTAATTTGATTGAAATATGACAATTTATAACATACACTTACTGCATGTATACAATTATACTCGTCACCGGTTATTTGAATATAATAATTCCAAGTACTACCTATAATAATTATTTAAAATGTAATATTGTAAAAAAAGATTTTGAATCATTGTATATGAAAATGATTAGAAAACTTTTAACCCTAATAGTTATTAATTTTGTGATGATTTAGATCTTTTATGAAAAACTGTACTTAGGATTTGATTTTCGATACTTTCAGAGTTTTTAGGGTGCCCTATATATCCAATCGTATCCGGTAGCATTCCTTCCAGTATTTCAAACGTGGCGGATATAATACTTGTATTGGTATAGGCCGCAGTGGTGTAACTTAGAAAGAATCTATTTACACCATAATTGAAACTAAAATCTAATCGTTTGTTTTTACACAAGTCTTAAAACTCATTTTATGTTATTAAAAAGTATTATGTAGTTAAATAGGTATAACAGTTAATTAAAAAAGATTCCGTAACTTGTTTGGAAAAAAAATGTGGTGATAATTCTGTATATATAATTCATTAAATAATATTATTGGGTTATATATGTAATAAAGATAATGCAAAAAGTCAACACAGTATTATTATACAAAAGCAGAAACACGGAACAAATGAATACAAGGAAAAAATATTTTATTAAATAAATCTATGTTAAATGCATATTTTCTTTAAGGAGATTTAAATATTTAAACTATTACCGTATCTGGATACCTGGGAATTTAACTTAAACTTTTTTGGAGGCAAGTTCCTCCCACTCTTGTCGCTAACTATCACTGGGTATAGGAATTTAATTGTATATTGATGGGCTCACCCATATTATTCTGGCCATGCTATGTTTTAAAATTCAATTTTTTAGGAAACCAAACCAAATCGATGACCGCTGCAATCCTGGCCTCGACTCTAGAGACTTAAGGGTTTGAACACTGCAGTGGCCCTTTGGTTTGAGTTACCCGTCTTTTGTACAACGGTATAAGTAGGTACCAAAACATTACATAGGTAATACATTATTTTTGTTCCACGCAGCGACCGATTCCACACGTAGGTTCATACCGACTCTTGGTGGGTGTGCAAGTGCGGCGTGGTGAGTGGGTGGTTGACCGGGGGTCTGTTTCGCGCAAGAGTGTCCTGCACGTTGCGCTGGATACTATATCGCATACGTGACGCGGTTTATCAAAGAGGCAGACGACGGACACGGAAACCGTTCTCTCCGTCCGTCTGTCCTACATATCGGGATGCGTGCGACCGCAAAAACCGCCGTATGCCCATCTTTGACGACCCCACATGTGCGCGCCGCGGATCCTTGACCCCGGACAGTCTGTGGCACGGCGTATAGTTTTTTCTTTTTTTTTTCCACTCGCGCAGCTGTATACCATTATTATTATTATCATCATCGTCGTCGGTCTCCGCGAGTTTTTTCTTGCCCCTCCTCCCCCCACACAGTGTAATATACAACCGCGACTGAGCGGCCAAACGCATATTATATTATATTATGTATATACCTAGGTACTATATGCTGCAGGTACCTATACCGCACCGCGGTTGCGCGGCGGAGAGGGTCTCGAGGCGGAGATATCGCGCTGCAGTGGAGCAGCTTTTGCCCCGGAGGATAGGTCGCTAGGTGTTTTTCGTTCCCACGTCACTACGTCGCCGATGAAAATAATATAATAACAACAACAATAATTAAAAAAAAATCGCAAATGCCCTCGCGCCAGCGGCTACCGCGGTATATACATCATATACCTATAGGCATATGGTGGGCGTGCCACCACGTCTCTGTGGACATATCTATATACGTAAGCTCATATATATATATATACTTACAGCGCATACGCATACATGTTTTGTAATGCACCATCGCCTAGGGCGGGGTGGCTCGACCGGCGGCGGCGGCGGCGGCGGCGGCGCAGAGAGAGGCCAAGATGATGGGAATATTTTGTCGTTTGCCTATGTATGGGGGCTACGCGTACAGCTACTGCGGCAGTCCGGTTGTGCTCTCAAACGCCGACTATGGCAAGTGGCTCTCTTCACTTCGGCCTATAGAGTGGGTTTTTGTATTGTGTATATGTATTATGACATGTATGCGCACAGCATTGTGGGTAACCTCGGTGGCCTCCGACGACGACAGCGACGACGACTACGACGACGACGACGACGACGACGACTAGTCGGCGCGCTGTGACTAGACCTGTCGACGATCGGTAACGTCGTCAACCGGCCGACATTAATCGCGCAGGTGTGCGGCGGCGACGGACGCGAGAGACGGTAGCCGCGTATATATCAGAGGTGGCCCCGGGGCAGTTGTGTATACTGCACACGTATTATACTTAGCTATATAATAATGGTATATATATATATATATGTTTCACGTGTACATGTGCGCATCGTCTTATATATATATATATATGAGTTATAACACTGTCAACTCGTATAACATCACATCACCTTACGTGTCATATACGAATACGTGTGTAACGTACCAGCAACGTGGCTTGCGTATGAGCGACAATGCCGAGGAGGTGAGCTTTTCGATGTCCATCCCTGCGAGGCCGGTTCTCTGGACGACAGTCGCAGTTCGACTCTATCGGAATAACGATACAATGTGATAACGATCTTTGTATTGTACGAAAAAGTTTTGGAAAATAGTTTCGTCAAATAATTATCGTGGCGACCAATATTATTTATTTACAGTGTTATATTGAAGATGGATAAAAAAAGTCTGCGTTATGAAAGAAATGACTACAGATATTGGCGATAATGTGATAGAAATATGTCAATATTATATAATGATTCGTCTTTTAAAAATGAAAAGGGGAAATCTGTTTAAATTCACTTTGACAAAGTTTTGAGGAAGTTAGATTGTTTGGTTCGTGTAGACACATGGTAAAAGATACATTACATTTTCACAATGCAATAATATGTTGTAGAGAGTCATGATTGAGTGCAGCAAATTTGAGATGAATTAATTAAAATTGTATTTTATGAGGCATTCCAGTTATGTACCTATCTACTCATTTTTATTTAAAATATTAATAATTTATAATGTTTTTATTAGGTATTTATCATTTAGATTTTTTATATTGCAGTTATTAACTCTCAGCTTGCAAAAGAAAAGATGGAATGGGGGTTGGTGAGCGAAGCGACAGAGCTTCCTAGTTATGATGTAACATAATAGTATGCAGTAGATATGTACGTATAAAGATATCATAACAATTATTTTAGGTAGGTATTTAATAATTTATTTATGTACCTGACGATATGGGCCTCGAGCGCAGGCAGACAACCGCCGCCGCAAAGTTAATATAATATTATTATGCACGCGTATTTAACTATCGAACACGCCGGTAAAAATATGATATAGTGTTAACAAGTAACAACAACATCATAATAAACGAATGAAAACACGACCGGTGTACAGCCTATTATATAGGTAGCTATAATAATAATATAATAATCGAATAACAAAATGTATTATTTATGGTCGGATCGAATAGTAGTTCTAAATTATACACCTATATTAGCATTCACTCACCGTTTTTCCGAGAACGGACATATTATTACACGCGGATATAACCTGATGATCTCATTAAATTATTACTTGGGTACACATATTATATGGGAAGCTCGTGAATTTTAAGTGCCAATTGTCGGCTAAATAGTGCTCTGATGTTTTTTTCATTTTTTATTTGTTTTGTCACTTTTTCTCGGGGCTTCAAAAAAAATCTTCTGTAAAAATGTTAATTTTAACACACAGATTTTAATTTTTTAAATAATTTAATTTATACTTATACATTCAATGTATCGTGATTTGCAACAGTTTACCGGACTGCCGAAGATAATATTGCTTGCTATAAAATATTCGTTATAATTAACACAAAATGAAGACATTTAAAAAAAAAATTGGCTCTAGCAATGTAAAACATTAAAATAAATAAGGAATTCCTACCCATACCCGTACTTCAGAAAAGTTAAACATAGTTCAAATTACTAAATACGAATAGCTGTAAACTGGTTGGAAAGTTATAAGCATAAACGTTGTTTCATACGGTGTGTTAATCGTTTTATCTTAACAAAATCAATACTGGTTTTAAATAAATAAATTTCTAAGCTGTGTAATAATTATAATACGTATTGTAATAAAAATATTTA